TAATTTTCACACTCACGTAGTATACATTTCAGGATGCCTGAAAATCCTTTTTGCAAAGAGAGTGAAAAACAGCACAGGGGTTTGGGGAACAAAGCCCACACTGCAAAATGACTGACTGGCAAATTATCCCATTACTGAAAAATGACCAAATACCTTTTTCCTGATGCTGTCAGAGGCAAAGAAGGACACGAACTCTCTCAACCCTGGCTGCCTTGGTCAGGACGGGCTTCTCCAAAGGCTGGACATGAGCACTGCTGGCCCAGGAGTGACAATCCCAGGAAAACTTTGCCAGGAAAAGGCCCAGTGATGGCACAGTGGCAAATCTGATGGCATGTTCTAGATAGACAAAATACTGTAAAACCCAACTGCTCTCCTTTCCAATCAATCTATGATATTCATCTAACTGAGGTTTACTGTTGTCCAGCCTGAATTAAAATATATAAAGAACACTACAGGGGAGGGCATCTAATGCAACAGACACGTAACTGCTTGGGACGCGTGAATCCCATCCAGCTCCCTGCTTGTGGCCTGGGAAGGTAGTGGAACATGGCTCAAAGCCTTGGGACTCCGCACCTGCGTGGGAGACCTGGAGGAAGCTCCTGGCTCCTGGCTTTAGATTGGCTCGGCCCCAGCCGTTGCAGCCATTTGGGGGAATAAACCAGTGGATGGAAGATCTTCCTCTCTGTTTCTTCTTCTCTCTGTAAATCTGCCTTTCCAAGAAACAAAAATAATCCTTAAAAAAAAAAAAGTAAAATTTGGGCCCGGCGCGATGGCCTAGCAGCTAAAGTCCTTGCCTTGAACGCGCTGGGATTTATGGGTGCCGGTTCTAATCCCAGCAGCTCCACTTCCCATCCAGCTCCCTGCTTGTGGTCTGGGAAAGCAGTCGAGGATGGCCCAAAGAATGGAGACCCTGCACCCGTGTGGGAGACCTGGAGGAGGTTCCTGGCTTCTGGCTTCATATCGGCACAGCGTCGGCCATTGCGGCTCACTTGGGGAGTGAATCATTGGACGAAAGATCTTCCTCTCTGTCTCTCCTCCTCTCTGTATATCTGACTTGGTAATAAAAATAAATCTTTAAAAAAAAAGTGTCAAATTCATATATGTGGACAATACCTAACACTCATTTCTCTATAGATGACAGACAATATGAGCTCCTACTATGTACCTTTTTTTTAAAAAAAGACTTAACTATTTTTCTTGGGTACATAGTGAAACAGAAAAGATGAGTCTTTATACAGTTTTACTACGGTCCAGAAGTAGAGTCACAAGCCCAAGAACTCATTGCTAGTAAATGATGGAATCTTAAATCCAATCTGATTCTATTCAAAGCTCATTTCACGGGATACAACTTCACAATGAACTAGCCAAGCCAAATCTTGGATCAGTAATTCTCACTTGGGCATTGCCAGCAGAGGATGTTGGCAACGACTGGAGACATAATTTTAAAATTTTTATTTTCAATAATTTCTTTTTAAGTAAAAATTTATTCAGTATTTATTTTTACTAGAAAACCAGAGTTACAGAGAAGATTGAGAGTGAGTGAGAGAGAGAGAGAGAGAGAGAGAGAGCTTCCATCTGCTACTTCACTCCCTAAATGGCCACAACAACTGGGGTTGAGTCTATTCAAAGCCAGGAGCCAGGAACCACCGCTGGGTGTCCTGCACGCAGACAAGCTCATGAGCCATCCTCTGCTGCTTTCCAAGGCTATCAGCAGAGAGCTGAACTGAAATTGGATCAGCCAGAACTGGAATTCGTGTCCACGTGGGATATCAGCCCAGCAGGCAGTGGGCCAGCATGGTAAACTACGGCATCAACCTCAGAATGTCTTTACTTGTAAGACTGGACAAGAGACAGAGAGGGGCTGAGAGTGATCAAGAGACCTCCTATATGCTGGTTCACTCTCCAAATGGTTACAGCTGCTTGCCCAGTTGCATTAGCAAAGCGCTAGACTGAAAGCAGAGCATTCCAGACTCTGATAAGGGATGCCAGCATTGCAACAGGTGATCTAACCCCTGCACCCCAAGGCTGGCCCCTGCAGATATCTGATGGCTACATCTAGGTGGTTGCGGTTTCTACCAGGGAAAGTGAGGAACACTGCCCGACACCCGGCAGCACACACGGCAGTCCCGAGATCAACCACACGGCCCCAAACGCACAAAGGGCTGAGATATCCAGAAACATGAAGACCTGGATAGGCATATACTCTAACACACATTTCTCCCTCTGCTCTCAGCCATCACCACTGTTGCTGCCATGACAGCCTGTCTGCCGACTCCCGGGGGAAAAAAAGCTAAGGTTTCCACTCCTGCTCAGGCAAGGTGGGAGATGGAAAGGCTGAGGAAGCAGGAGTGCAAAGATGCACTCTCTTAAGTACTTCATCCAAACTGAGACAAGTTTCACTGGCCACTGTCCACCACGCAGGCTTCTGGCCCCGCGGCCTTAGCTCCCAGCATCCTCCATTAACCCCTACTGTCTGCCAAGGGCTGCTCAGCCGGCGACACTTCTGCCAGGACAGTGGTCAGTGATTTGTCAATGCCCTTGAAGACTCCACCAGACCAGGGTGGACACTAGGGCAAAGAAAGCAGGAATCCGTTCATATGATGAAGACACCAGCCAAGACACCCGTGGCCTGCGACAGGGGGCCTGCTCTGAGCGCCCGATGCCTGCACCCGGCCATGGCAGGCCCCGTGAGGAGGCAGTGGTGACAGCTGGAGGTGTTGGGTCCTGCTCCCCACGCGGCTGGCCTGGACTGAGTCTCCAGCCCCCCTGTTTTGGCCCCTGCCACATCCGTCTGCTGTGGGCATTTGGGAGAGGAAAGGTAGGTTATACAAACTGATTCAGACAAAACACAAACAAAAAAATAGGAATTCGCTCAGACGTTTCACTTAGAAAGCAAACCAGGTGATAATGAAACATTTCCTGACCACAAAGGCAACCTGCACTCAGTTCTCCAGGGGAAAGACCTGCACCCTGCTACCAACAAGTGCTCCTGGAGATCACCACGAGAAACCAAACAGAAGCTCAGCGTCCCCGCTCTCTTGCACAGTGAGCCCGGAAAAGACTGTCTAAATTCTGGAAGCCCCAACTTCCATCCGTTTTTAGCCAACACTTGTCACATACCCAGGGTGAGGCAGGCGCTGGTGGGCCGCCGCCGACTCAGCGTGGGGCACACGGGGTACTCCCTGAGCTTCCACGGGAGGCAGAGCAGGGGGCCAGGGACGCGGAACACCCACCCGAGGTAACCGGGCAGCAATGGCTCCGACACAAGACCACCTCACAAAGCAGTGGGGCCCTGACACACACAGACAGAAGGCCGGGGAGATAACACGTGCACAGTTCTATTCGGCTGCACCCACAGAGGGCAGGTTCAAAACGGGGAAAAAATAAAAAACTTGCAGGGATGAAAAAGGCAAAAGTAGCTACATCACATCTGCTTGATCACACTGCAAGCCGCAAGACGGGAGCATCATCAGGCTGCGAATCGGGGCCACAGTCCCCTTGGGGTGGGGGTGGGGGGGACGCATTGAGCGCTGTCAGCGGATGGGGTGGGGGTAGGCGAGAGCAAACACCAACTCCGGCAGGAGTTGTCAACCATGCCCGCCGCTGGCCTCTTTGTAGCAGAGCCCAGTCCCACCCCGGGTGCACGCGCGCTCCTCCCTCCGCGCCGGGCTTGGGGCGCCGCGGCCACCCCGGCTCCCCGGGAACACACACACACACCTGCGCGCCCCGACCGCCCCAACCCCGGCCACCCTGCGAGCTCTCCCCGTGCTGCAAGCCCAGCCCCGGTTCCCCAATCCGGCTGAGGGCACTGTCATCCCTGGCCGGCTCCGCGGGACGTGCCAGGCCTGCTCAGGGGCTCGGCGCCCGGGCCTGGGGGAGTGCATCCAGGGCGGCTCGGAGCACGTGCCCCCGGATCGCCGGGACGCAGGACAAAGTCCGCTCCCGCCGGCTCCTCCTGCTCCGGCTCCCCCGGGCACCGGGAGCAGCCAGCCGGGCAAGGGGCCTGCGCGCGCCGCCCCGGACCTGACCCCGGGTCCCCCGCGCCCCCCGCGCCGACTCCGGCCTCGGACTCCTGCGACCCCCGCGCGCACTCTCACCATTGTGGTTGACCCAGGTCGGCTTCAGGAGCTTCATTGTTCGGCCGCCGTCGTCGCCGCCGCCGCCGGGCTGTGGCAAGAGCCGCGTCCCTCAGCGCGCCCGGGCCATGGGGCCGCCGCCGCCGCTTCCTCCCGCGCCGCCCGCCCTCCGGCCGCCGCCCGCCCCACGCCCTCAGCGCCGCCGCGCCATCGCCGGCCTGCGCCCCCCGCCGCCGCCACAGGCGCCCCCCGCGCTCGGCCGCCGCCGCCGCCACCACAGCCGCATCCCCTGCGCCGCTCCTCCTGCGGCGGCTCCCGGGCAACGCCGGAAGTCACGGCGCGCACCTGCCAAATCGCCTCGGCGGGAAACCGCGCCCCACGCGGCCGTGGCCGCCCGGGGCTGCTCGGAGGGCCAAGGGGAGTCGCCGCGCAGGGACGACGACGGCGGCTGCACGTGGCGGGGCGGGGGAGGGACGGGCTCCGAGTCCCACTTCGTATGATTTAACTAACTTTGGTCATTCGTCGGGGCGCCCAGGCGGGCCGCTAAGCAGCTCCAGGCCCAGCGAGGCAGCCACCAACCCCTTGGCCCGAGTGCTGGCGAGGCACGAGCCGAGCCCCCGGGAGGGTGACGCGGCGGGAGGCGGGCGGACGCGTTTATTGCCAGGTGGGGCCGAGTTCATACACGTGGACACTCGGGCGCCGAGGGGCGCAGGCCATGCCCTCGCAGCCACTGAGGTTGCCGCGCCGGGGTGAGAGCGCGATCACGCGCAACGGCGCTCGCACGGGGCGGAGGCGGAAGAGCACGCGCCCCGCGCGGCGAGAGGCGCCCCGAACGTGCGGACGTCGGGGGGCGGGGCTGCGTCGGGAGGGGGCGGAGCCTGACCACATCCCTCGCCCCACCTCTGCAGCCGGAACGCGGGAATGCGAGGCAACGAGCTGGCCGGACTCCTGGCTGTGGCACCGCGAGGCCGGACCGCCGAGAGGCGCGCGCCCGGAAGCGGCCGGTGGGCGGCAGCAGGGGCATGGCGGCTTCCGTGCTGCGTGCGGGCGCGCGGGCCCTGTGCCCGCAGATCGGGTGAGCGCTGATGCCCGCCGAGCCTCGGGGTGCCCCGGGGGCGTTTGTGAAGGGGTCGGGGTTCGTGTTCTTGTTCCGGCCGCTCCTTCCGTGGGCCTCTGGGCGGGGGGGTGATGAGGCGGCTCTGGTGGATGAAAACCCTGGCTAGTCCGCACGCCTGTGGCGACAGCGGGGCTGCCGTGAGACGTCCCCTCCTTCCGGTTGATCCTGCTGTCAGCCTTCACGCCTGACCTGGGCTCGCAGGCGCTGTGGATTCTGTCTATTGCCTGTAGGGGTCGGGCATTTCTGCAGACACTTTTTGTCTTTTTCAGGCCGCTGGGAGTGTGGCGGACCCAGCTTCGAGAAGCTCACCAGCGGGCTTCGTTGTTTGCTTTCTGGGAGCTCGTTCCCATGAGGTAAAACTCTTCCTGGGAGAGTGCGGTCTGCACGGGTGCGTGTGGAGCGACGATGCAGCAAGGCCGTCCGTCCGTGTGCAAAGGCGACAGCCTGCGCGGTGTTTCTCGCTGCCCGACTCGGGTGGACGCCTGGCGGATTTTTGTACATTCTTTCTACTCTGCGTTGCTGTGTTTAAAATGAAACCTGAGAGTAGCTTCAACCCCAATGTGTGTGGGAGCGATCTTCTGCGTTTGAAAGGGCATGGCTCGCAGGGCAGGTGCACTGCTACCCTGCCATCCTCAGTGTGGTTTCCAGTCTAGGCTGATGTCTGTCCAGCTCCCTGCCACTGCGCCTGGGAAAGCAGGCTGGAACATTCGATTCTTCATCATAAAGTACAAGGATGTGTTCCTAAGAGTAACTCGGACTCTTGCCAGTGTTAAGAAATTACCCAAAGTGGAACTGGCACAATGCTCAACTGGCTAACCCTCAGCCTGTGAGCAGGGACATCCAATGTGGGTGACAGCTGCTCCACTTCCCATCGAGCTCCCTGCTTGTGGTCTGGGAAAGCAGTGGTGGACGGCCCAAAACCTTGGGACCCTATGTGGAGATCTGGAAGAAGCTCCTGGCTTTCCATCGGCTCAGCTCTGACTGTTGCAGCCACTTGGGGAGTAATAAAATGTGAATGATAAGCTTCTAGAACATTAGGTTAGGAGTTTCCTTTTCTTTAAAAAAGATTTATTTCTTTGAAAGACACAGAAAAAAAGGATCCTTATCTGCTGGTTCATTCCCCAGTTGGTTACAACAGCTGAAGCTAAGAGCCAGGAGCTCCTTCTGAGTCTCCCAAGTGGGTGCAGGGGCCCCAAGACCTTGGGCTATCTGCTGCTTTTCCAAGCACATTAGCAGAGAGCTGGATCAGAAGTGGAGCAGCCAGGACTCAAACCAGCGTCCGCGTGAAATGCCAGCACCACAGGTAGCTTTACTCACTATACCACCACAGCGCCCCCTGACGTTGGCTTCTCACATGACAGAGCAGAACCTCTGCGGAAGAAGAAGAAGGTCGACCCTAAAAAAGACCAGGCTGCAAAGGACCGCTTGAAAAAGAGAATCCGGAAGCTGGAGAAGGCCACCCAGGAGCTCATTCCCATCGAGGACTTCATCACGCCCGTGAAGCTGTTGGATAAGGCGAGGTAGGGTCTGAGGCCCTTCGGGTGTCATTGTGAACTGGTAAGCCCGCCCCGCTCCCAGCATCTCTTCCCTTGATTCTGGCTTCTTTGGGGATGTCCTGGATACTCTTGAATTGACAAGTCCAGGCCAGATGATTGAGAGATTTGGGGGTAGCACTGCTATCAGGGTCCCCAGTGGCATGAGACTGATGCCTTGGCTTTGGGTCTGCGGGCCGCTGGTCAGGAACTCTAGGCCCCTGTTTTGCCAGGGTATTGCTGCATGTGCGCACTTTGTCGAGTGGCACCTTGCCTTCCAGTGGGGCACTGCAGGGCAGGCAGAGGCCCTCGACTCTCTAGAATTTAGGACCGGAGTTCCAGAACCCTTGCGATGGCAGAGGGAAGCTCCGCTGGTTTCTTGGGGCATTGTCTCCTCACCTAGGGGAGAGCAGGACCCCCAGCCCAGGCTGCAGCCACTGCCACATTTAACATTCCATTCCCACATGTGTCTAGGCCTCCTACTTTTTTCGTCCCCGAATGCCACTTGCACCTGGCAGACACCCCACCCACCCCAGTCCATCCCCTCCTGCTTTGCTTGCAGACAGAGGCCGGAGGTGGAGCTGTCCTATGAGGAGAGTGAGCGCAGAGCCCTGCTTCTGAAGAGATGGTCCCAGTACAAGCAGCAGGAACACGCGCTGGAAAGGGACGCCATCAAGGCCATGTGCCAGGCCCAGCAGGAAGCCCTGCGGGAGCTGCAGCTTGAGTCCCCGGAGCTCTACAGTGAGGCCATCAAGCGGGACCCCAGCCTGTTTCCCTTTGAGAAAGAAGGACCCCACTACACACCACCAGTCCCCGGCTACCAGCCCCCTGAGGGCAGGTACAATGACATCACCAAGGTGTACACACAAGTAGAGTTCAAGAGATAGAGCTGCAGGCAGCTCGACACGCCCCACTCCATGGGGTCAGGACAATCTGATTCAAGTTCTCCATAGAATTATGCGCTGCTGATGAATAAAAGTTCAGTCCGGTATATCTGCTTGTCTTGTGTTGGGATCAAACTTAATTCACCTGAGGGTGAATGGGGTGGGCCACTCTGCTGGACCTCTGGAGGGTTCCTGGAAGAGAAAAGCAAAGATGTCAGTGACTGCACCCCAATGGGACTAAAGAAAGATTCCAGTATGAGCTGAAAGGCACCTCCAGCGGGGCCAGAGGAGGTGGAGTGGAGGGTGCACAGACAGGAGGCCAGAGGAGGTGAGGTGGAGGGTGCACAGACAGGAGGCCTTCAGGAGGGATGGTGGAGGGTGCACAGATTGGGAGCTGGAGTCCCGAGGAGCTGCCTTTGGGTTAGAAGCCAGGGATGCAGCAGTTTCTGAAACGGGTGGTGCAGGCACCTGGTCTCTTTACTGACTGCTTGGGTGAGCAGCGGACCTGAGTCCACTGGGACTTCACAACGAATTATTACTGCTTGCGGAGCCCAGGTCAGCATGTTCTCAGCATGGGCTGCAGCTCTTAAGGTCAAGAAATTGGGAAATGTCTTCCCTTTTTTTTTTTCAGGATGTCTTATTTGTTTTTATTTGACAGTCAGAATTTACAGAGAGAAGGAGAGATAGAGAGGTCTTCATCATGCTAGTTCACTCCCCGAATGACTACCAATGCCAAAGCTGAGCTAATCTGAAGCCAGGAGCTGCTTTTGGGTCTCCCACATGCCTGTAGAGTCCCAAGAACTTTGAGCATCCTCCACTGCATACACAGGTGATAAGCAGAGAGCTGGATTGGAAGTGGGGCCTGAACCTGCACGTTGTAAAACTGCTGCTGTAAAATGAAGGATCAGCCTGTGGAGGCACCACACCCATTTCCATATATGGCCTCTCCATGACCATTAAGGGGCCAACTCCCTGCATCCTCACACCCTCTCCATGACCATCAAGGGGCCCCCTTCCTGCATCTTCACACCCTCCCCGTGACCAGCAGGTGGCCAGCTCCATGTGGTCTCACACCCTCCCTTATTCTGTGACCTGATCTCTTAGTAAGCACTGCCATAGAGTTACCCTGATGACTTGTTCTTTTTATTTTTTATTGCAAAGTCAGATATACAGATAGGAGGAGAGAGAGAGGAAGATCTTCTGTCCAATGATTCACTCCCCAAGTGAGCGCAAGGGTCAGTGCTGTGCCGATCAGAAGCTAGGAACCAGGAACCTCTTCCAAGTTTCCCACATGGGTGCAGGGTCCCAAGGCTTTGTGCTGTCTTTGACTGCTTTCCCAGGCCAAAAGAAGAGAGCTGAATGGGAAGCAAGGCTGAGGACTTTAGCTGTTAGGCCATTGTACCGGGCTCTATTTTTATTGGAAAGGCAGATTTTTTTAAGGATTTATTTATTCTTATTACAAACTCAGATATACAGAGAGGAGGAGAGACAGAGAGACAGACAGCAAAATCTTCGGTCCAATGATTCACTCCCCAAGTGACTGCAATGGCTAGTGCTGCACCATTGAGATTTCCCTTACCTTCTCCTAAATCCAATCCCTCACCCACTGAATTCCCCTATGCTATTCTTATAGTATAGTTCTTCATAAACAATCATATGTCCATCCTTGTGGCCATGGACAATGGCAGGGAGTCCAGCATCCTATTGTTAAGATATAGTAAACAGTTTCAGTGGAAGTCCATCTTTGATATGGAAACAGATGCATACTGCACTGTATCCTCACATCTGGATATGATAGTCTCCATTACACAGTTACTATACATCCCCTTGAATGAAAAGTCACAATATAAGATCAACAAGAAGAAAAATAGAAATTTACAACGCCATGAATTTAAATAACATGCTACTGGATATGATAATCTCTATTACATAGTTACTGTGCATCTCCTTAAATGAAAAGCCACAAAACAAAATCAACAGGAAGAAAAAAAGAAATTAAAACTACCATGAAGTTAAATAACATGCTACCGAATGACTAGTGTGTCACTGAAGAAATGAAAAAGTCAAAAATCTTCTTGAAGAAATTGTTACTGTATGATCTATGAGTCAGTGAAGAATTTAATAAAGTGTTTCAAAGAGATAAAGCTAAAAAAAAATCAAAATCCATGAGATGCAGTTTCCACTGTCTTTTTGGTGAGATGTCTCTTGTAGGCAGCAAATGGGTGGGTTTTGTGTTTTTAATCCAATCTACAAATCTATGATGTTTGATTGATGAGTTTACACCCTTTATATTCAGGGTTATATGAATGGGTGGCAATTTGATCCCAAAATACTATGGGTGGTAATTTTAGCAATGGCTTGTTAACTGGTTTGGTTTTCTGTTGTTATTTTACTGGGGTGTTTTTTGCATTTACCTTTGGTTTTGATGGATGCTATTCCTCTTCTCTGTGAAGAGACCATCTTTAAGTATCATTTGTAGGGCAGGTTTGGAAAAGGTATATTCTTTTTTAAAAAAGATTTATTTTTATTGCAAATACAGATAAACAAGACAAGAGACAGGAAGATCTGACATGTGATGATTCACTCCCCAAGGGGCCGCAATGGCTGATGTTCCACCAATCTGAAGCCAGGTGCCCGGAGCTTACTCTTCCAGGTCTCTCATGCGAGTGCAGGGTTCCAAGGCTTTGGGATGTCCTTGACTGCTTTCCCAGGTCACAAGCAGGGAGCTGGATGGGAAGCAGGGCCTCCGGGATTAGAACCAGTACCCATGTGACATCCAGTGCGTTCAAGGTGAGGAACAGGGGACAGGTCACATTAGGTGGGGCCGTGACACTAACCAGCACACGAGAGAATCAGGTCTGGGGGTAAATTCCACAGGGGACAAGTGGGCTTAACCCTGTGGAAATCCAAATTCCACTGATTAGTTCAAGGGTTGGGGTGGTGATGGGCTGAGCTAGGTGTGAACACGGAACCTGCCAACACTCACAGGTGATGGGACTGAGAATAGGCTGGGCAGGTCCAAGCTGCAGCACCTGCACGTGCATCCTAAAAGAGGTGTGGGGTGGTATCCTGCAGTATCCACCAGCTCAAAGGCCAAGATGGAGGGACAGGGTATGCCAGGCAAGGGCCTAGCACCTGCTGGCACATGTGAGACTTAGATCTGGGAGTGAGCCGAGTAGGGGAACTTGGGAAACTCCCACATGGGGTCGTAGCTCCCACAGCTGAGCACATGGTCCAGATCTAGTGGTTGAGCAAGCTGGGCAAGATAGCCCCATCTGTTGGCAAGTGTGTGAGTTGGTTTTGTAAGGGGGCTGACCAGGCAGGGCTGAACAAACCTTAGCCTACTGGTGAGTGCAGAAAGCAGGCTGGAGTGCAGGTAATGCCAGGCTATGGTATCACACCTACTGGTTTACATGAGCCAGGATGGGAGCAGACTGAGCAGGGCCAGGTTGCAGTACCCGCCAGTGAGAGTTGGGACTGGGGGACTGGCTAGGACAGGTGAGGCTGCAGCATCTGAAGGCAAAGGCTAAGACAAATGAGCGACTATGCCAGGCCAGATCAGAGCAATCCATGGCATGTGCGAGAACTGTGGATGGGAACAGGCTTGGTTGGGGAACTAAGGGTACGCCCTGGCTGGGGTGTGATTCCCATTGGTGAGCATGAGGGCCAGAGTCGGGGCTGAGGTCTGGTCTTGATATGGCTGCAGGATCCCTCGGCATGGGTGTGGGCTGGGTCTGGGATGCACCGAACTGGGCTAGATTCCAGCACCCACTGGTGCTCATGAGAACCAGGGTGAGTGTAGGACAGGCAAGGCTAAATGTCTGCCCCTGCTGAGCCATCTATGAGCTGTGTCTCGGTGCGGACCAGTCTTGGCTGGGCTGTAGCACCCAACAAGAACCAGAATGGGTGAGGGCTGGTCAGGACAGGTCACTGTTCCTGTGGGACAGGAGGTGGACTAAGTGGGGCTGGCCCATGGATCCACCAGTGTGCGTGAGATCTGGCATTGGGAGGGATCCTGATGGAGAAGCTTGGATAACTCCTGTGTCAGGACACACTCCCTGCAGGTGAATGCAAGAACCAAGATGGGGAGCAGTCCAAACCAGGCCAAAATACAGTACCCACCAGTATATATTTGGCACAGATAAAGGGCAAGCCAGGCTGACCCAGTTCACATCACCCGCTGGCAAATCCAAGAGCCAGAATGGAGTGTGGGTTAGGCCGGTTTGGGATGCAATATCAGAAAGTCCACATTAGAGCCAGGAGTGGGGACTGGCGGGGCTGGGATAGGCAGTTGCCCCCACCAGTGTGAACTGGAAATGGGGGTGGGCCGGGCCTGCCCGGCCAGGCTACAGCACCCACTGGCAAATGCTGAGGTGAGGCAGGCTGTTGCAGACTGGGCCACAGCACCCAACGAGCACATGTGAAATTTGGGAGATGGTGGGGTGGACCCAGTGGGGGGCTACAAGGGTCCCCGTACTGAGCCACTTACTTCCACTGGAGAGCATGAGAGCTGGGATGGGGACAGACCAGGTCGGGCAGGGCCACAACAGCTGATGGCCTGTATGTGAGCTGGATCAGGGGAAAGCCTGACTGTGCCTTCTGGTATATGTGTAAGTCAGAGTGGGTGTGGGTGAGTTGGGCTTTGCTGCAGCATCAGCTGGCAGATGCTGGCATGGAAGGCAAAAATTTTTTTTTTAAAGATTTATTTATTTTTATGGCAAAGTCAGATATGCAGAGAGGAGAGAGTTCAATAAAACCTAAGCAGTTGCCTAAAGTTGGAGTGGAGTAGATACTACTAGAATGATGTAAAAGAAACAATAATATATGATACGAAGGTGCTTTTCTCCTGGAGATCTCTTTTCATATTGGAAATGAAATCTTTTTTTTTTTTTTAAGATTTATGTTTAGTGGAAAGGTAGATCAGGTTTATGGAGAGAATGAGATAGAAAGATGTTTCATCTGCTGGTTCACTCCACAAATGGCCAGAGCTGAACTGATCCAAAGCCAGGAGCCAGGAGTTTCTTTCCGGTCTCCCACGCAGATGCAGGGTCCCAAAACTTTGGGCTGTCCTCTACTGCTTTCCCAGGTCACAAACAGGAAGCTGGATGGGAAGTAGAGCAGCCAGGATATGAACCGGCACCCATATGGGATTCTAGCACTTGCAAGATGAGGACTTTAGCTGCTAGGTTACCATGCCATGCCCAGCATATTTCTTAAAATCCAGTGTTACCAGTGAAGCTCAGTGTTTTTTTTTTCACAGCTTCGTACAAAACAAAACCAAAAAACAACAAAAAAAAACAACTAGGAAGCAAGTACAAGCATAACAGAAACATAACTTTTATTTAAAGCAAAACAATAGGAAAGCACTGCCCACAGGTAAGTTATGGAGTGTCCAACTGGACACTAGCTTTATGAGAAATGGCTTGGGATTTTCAAGTTGTTTTTTTTTTTTTTCTGGTTCACAGTCATGAACATAGGGAGGGGCACAGGGAGACCCATGTGTCTGGACTGGTAAAGAGGTGTCTTGAATGAGGGCATTCATGTGACCATCATGTCCCGTTCTGGGGGTGTGGCCTGACCCTCCCACTCCCTAGTCTGAGCTGTCTCGGCAACTCCTGGTTTGGCACAGTCAGCCCACCTAGTATGTGCAGATAACTGAGATGGGGTTTAGGGAGTACCCGCCTCTCCTCCAAGTCCCTGCACCCGACCTCACCTAGTGTCCACAGTCTGCCCTGGTGCCTGGGGTTAAGTGTGCTGGGTAGAGGGGGCCAGTGCACCAGCAACCAGAGCTGAGCAGAAGGGAGTGCCATGTTTTGTGGCCACACACAGGAGTCACCAAGGCTGGTGTATGGTGGCTTCAGGGCCCATATGGGTCTGGGCTCCCGGTCAAGTTTGCCTGAGACTGCTAGCCTTAAAGATTGCCATTTCTGGGGTGTTATCCCTGAGGGGGTTGGGCAGGATCCTGCCAAAGTGCTTGAAGTCTTAGCAGCCATGGGGTGGGTGCACTTGATCTTCAAAGCATTATGGTGGTGGAAGCCCTGAGGTATAGAAGAGGGGGTATGTCAGGCTGCTGGGGTTCTGCTCTTTGTTCTGGGCCAGGAGGGAGCCAGCAGGACCCCTGGTCTGGTTACAGTCCTTAGAGCTGTGTGACAGTGTCACTTGAACGAAATCAGACACTGCTACACAGGCCAAGGGTAGAGGTGTGCTTGTCACTTGTCCTTCTCCTGTGGCAGGGGGAGGTGCCAGTCTGCAGGAGGGTTCTGCCTCGGAGTCCACACCAACACCTGTCTCCACGCAGCCTGCATCCGAGCCCGCTCGCTCTCACAGAGGGATTGCTGTGCAAGAAGGAGCTGGGTCATTTCCCCTCGCATGCCCCCAAGGTCCCCAGCACCCCCCATGGCTCCCAGACCACCCTTGTGCATCAACACCTTACTGGGCGCTGATGGACGCGCTGGGGACGGAGTGGTCTGCACAACTCCACATCTCAGCTAGCCACTTGCAGCTAAAGTAGCCTGGCGAGCGGTTCCATGTTAACACATGTGGACCGGGAGGGTTCTTTCTCACAGGCTGTTGCCACTATAATCTGAGGGATCTGGAAATACGTTTTGTGGGTCTCGGGACTCAGGGGCTGCAGCTGCCCTTGGTGAACCTGGGGCAGGTTAGGGCAGGCTCACCTGCTGGGCTGAGGCTAGGGGTACTACAGAGAAGCATGGTGGCAAGGGAGGCAGATGAAGCAAAAGCAGGAGGTGTCCTGACTACAGACGTGTGACTGTGCAACTCACCAGCTCCTTTTAGCAAGTATCCCCAAACACAGACACAGGGAAGGGTGCTGAGACGGGGTGCAGTAGCCAGGAGTCAGGAGCTAGACAATTCCTAGCAATGCAATCTGTCTGCCTGTCTGTTCTTACTCAAATTGTTTTTGTTTTTAAAAAGTGATTAGACTGTACCCTGCTTGTGTGGAAAACATGATCTGGCCACATGCCTGTTGGTGAAATTTAGGTCACCTTCCGCACTATCGCAAAGAGTGACATGTGGAATATTTTGATCTCTTCATCGGGTGGTGTGATACACTTACGTCCCTTAGGATGAAATTTTAGAGAGAAAACTTAGGGGTTAAAAGGTATGGCACTGACATATGGCCGGTCAGAATGCTACATCTCGCCCCTCACCCCCAACACTACACAAGGAACCGGGGGTCTCTAACCTTTCATCCACACCCTGCCATTTCTAACTTGTGTACCTGTCTCTATTTACTTTCCTTCTCCAGTGAATTGCTTCTTGGTGTGCTTTGCTCATTGTTATTATTATTATTCAGATTCATTTTTATTTAAAGTCAGAGTTACAGAGAAAAGGAGAGACAGAGAGATCTTCCATTTGGTGGTTCACTTCACAGATGGCCACAACACCCAGAGCTGAGCTGATCCAAAGCCAGGAGCCAGGAGCTTCTTCCAGATCTCCCAAGTGGAGCGCAGGGTCCCAAGGTTTTGGGCCGTCCTCAATTGCTTTCCCAGGCCACAGGCAGGGAGCCGGAAGGGATGGGAAGTGGAGCAGCCAGGCCTGGATCCAGTGCCCACAGGGGATGCTAACACTGGCCTCTCTCTCTCTTTTTTTAAAAATTTTGAAATCTTTCCATTTTTCTTTCAAATGCTCACGCAATCAGTCTCATTCTGAATCTCTTGCCACACAAGCTGCCAGCTTACTCCCCTCTTTGTTTCCAGTCCTCCTGTCTGACTTGCAGTTACATCCCATCCTCTTTCCTGCTGCTTTGGTGTTGTATTCTCCACAGCCAGGGGGCCCTGGTACAGGTAAACCAATGGCTTGCATTGCCAGCTTCCCATATGTGTATTAGTTCGCGTCCCGGCTGCTCCTCCTATGATCCACCTCCCTGCTGATGCACCTGGGAAAGCAGTGGAAGACGGCACCTGTACCTACATGGGAGAGATCTGGATGAAACTCCTGGCTTTGGCCTGGCTGAGCCCTGGGCATCTGGGGAATGAACCTGCGCATAGAGCATTCTGTGCAGCGCCTTTCAAGAAATTAAAAAAAGTAAGTCAGGGCCTAGTGCAGGAGTCTAGTGGCTGAAGTCCTTGCCTTGCATGCACCGGTATCCCATATGGGAACCCATTAGTGTCGTGGCCACCCTGCTTCCCATCCTGCCTGTAGCCTGGGAAAGCAAACGAGGACGGCACAAAGCCTTGGGACCCTGCACCCGAGTGGGAGACCTGGAGGAGGTTCCTGGCTCCCGGCTTCGGATCAGCGCAGCACCGGCCGCTGCGGCCCCTTGGGGGAGTGAACCAGCAGACACAAGATCCTCCTCTCTGTGCTTCTCTCTATAAATCTGACCTTCCAATAAAAACAAATCTTTACCAAAAAAAAAGTAAGTCAAATCATGCTGCTAGGCCTGCCCACCACCCCGCCTGCCCTGTGGGGCTCCCCGTCTCCGCTCCATCCCGCAGGATCACCCTCGCACCGCTCCCGGAGGCTCACGTCGAGGGTGAGGGATGGCCGGGCCCCGCGCACCTGGGCCTCCAGGCTGCCGTGCTTCTCCCACTCCCGGCAGCGGGCCAGGTCGCGCCGCCACTGCTCGCAGGTCGGCCGCTCGCCGTGGACGTAGTAGTGGTGCAGGAAGTGCCGGGCGCTGCGGCACAGCTTCCACTCGGCGCGGTAGGCCTCGCAGGAGCGCGGCGGCTGCGGGAGAGGCGAAGCCTGAGCGGGGCCGGCCTCGCACACACCCTCCGGCCCGCCCAGCCCCGCCACGCCCCGGGAGAGGCCGCCCGCCCCAACGCCGCCCACACTCACTTGCCAACCGCCACCGCCCCCTCTCCCAGCGCCGCCAGCGCCGCCAGCGCCCCCAGCGCCGCCAGCGTCGCCACCGGCCCCAGCACCGCCACCGCCCCCAACGCCCCCGTCCGCCATGTTGAAGCAACTGCCAAACCGCCCGCCTGAACCTCCTAGCCAATGAAAGGCGAAGAAAGTACTGATTGACGGCTAGAAGAGCCAATAAGCGCAAGAGATGGCCTCCTTGAAGTGCACCAATCATCATGTCGCCTGGACCATGCAGCCCGTTACAGCAGGGGGCGGAGCCGAGGAGAGGCGTGTTCCGGGAGACGGAGGAAGTGGCGGGCACCTCGGCCCGGGGATGGCAGCCGCCACCTGCATGGTGGCCCGCTGGCGCCCGGGACAACCAGGCACGTCACGAACGCTGAGACTGCACGGTTCAGGCCAGTTCTGTTCAGCAGCTTTGTTACTGAAGCTAAAATCCGGTTTATTTTTGCAGACACAGCAGCTACTGTGGTGTCGCCTGGGCATCCACTCAGGGGACGGGCGAATTCACAAGACGATGGAGGCCGATCGGGTGCATTGTGTGTCCTGGGACACGGAGACTGCATAGCTGGTGTCTGATTAGGAGACAATGAAGGCAACACACATTATCCCCCTCATTTCTAGGCCGCGGTTGTCCGGGGTCTGTCTGCAGAATCATCTCCACGGCAGTGTGGCTGGGCCCCTACCAGGAAGGCAGGCTGTTGAGGCGGCTGGCTCAGTGACCCACTGTGGACAGGATACTGAGGGGAAGGGCTGGACCAGGCTCCATGCGACCCCGTGGTGACAACACATGGCCCCAAACGTCACAGCAGACATCTGTCAGCCAACACCATCACGCAGCTAGAGGGCTTCTGTCTCCTATGTGGCGGTTGGTGAGGGCAGTGTGTGTGTGCCACAGGGCAGATCCCTCGAGAGCAGGCCACCCCGTCCAGAGCAGCCCCTGGAACATGCGGGCAGTGGGCTGGGCCTGATCACTGGCTCCTGTCACCAGGTTCAGGGCATCCTGTCTCTTTTCCAGAAGCTACACATGGGGCACCCGCGAGGGGCCTGCCTGGAACATCCAGCCAGCTGTCAATCGAGCATATACAGGCAGGGTTTGGTCACTGTTTTTATTTGGAATTCACGGATTTAGAATTATTCTGAAGGAACAAATGGAAAAATTATTAGGATTGGCATATCAGAAAGTGATCTGAGACCAGATGGGTACTGATCCAAAATAAAGACAGGCTGGCAGAACCTGGGAATATGCGACCAGTAAAGCTGGGGGCTTGGGCACTATGAGGAGGAGCCAAAGGGGCGTCATCGGTAGCATTCACTCATTTCTAATACCTCTCTGTCACGAGGGGTTGGTGGCCCTACGCGTTCACAACAGAAGGGTAAGGTTACTCAGATCCGGGCTTCATTCTGCCAAGTGGCATGTTCAGGAAAAAAAAAAAAATCAACATGTAAAATAAAAACAGGAAAATTCTCAGATACTTAAATTGCAGCCAGAGTAATGTGACAGCTATCATTTATGAACAACTGTTTTTATTGAAACCATTTTTTTTTCTAGGTCAAAGGCAATGCGGACGTAATCAACCTGGGAAAAGGAGAAATAAAGGAGAAAGCCTCTCCAGTTAGAGCAGTTCCATCCTCTTTGCTGGTTTTGTCACAAATGGGGGGGGGGGGGTGGCCTCTGCTCTCTGAGAGGCCCTGTCCCCTCGCAAGGCTAGCAACAAAAGGCAGAAAGGAGGTGGCTGTCCACAGCAATTCTGCAACTCCAGCAGCCCGTTCTCTTTTCCAAAGTCAAGCTCACAACTATGCATCCAGCCGCTCAACGTCCCGGCGGATCTGAACATCTTGGGGAACAAACCTTAAGAAGCCCAGTGGAGCAGCCCCGTCCCTGTCCAAGCCAGTAACTAAAAGCCAGTATGTTGCCAGGGTTTCTTTTATTTTCAAAGCAGCCACCAAAGTCCCAATTTATGGCTTTCTTCCTTTTTTGCGCAGTGACTGTCCTTCTCCAGAGAAAGCGATGAATCGGCCGCCGGCTTCATCCTAGGTGTGAAGATCAAATGCTCTGTTACAAACTCCCGGATGCTATCACGTGACTCATGTACCAGCCTTCCGTTCTCCTAACTTCCAACTACAAACATAAACACCATCATGTCCTGCCTGGAGAGGTGAACCTAGAGCAGTATCAGATGCTCCTCAGCTTCCAAGGGGCCCAGCCATCACAGCCATCCTATCCTGACAACACCCGTAAAGCGACGGCGTTGTTGTCCCCCTGACCTGGCAAATGCAGCACAGTGCACCTCGGCGTCTGCTGACCCTGCTGACCCCGCTGTGACCGTGGAGCTGACCGGAAGCTGGGATCTTCCCACTGCCTAGCACAGCCACCGGCTCCTGTCCCACATGGCACTAACCCAGGAAAAGATCCACATCCTGAATTCAGACTGGGGTATCTATTGCTTTTCCACCATTACCAAGTTGAACCATTGTAAGCTGGGGAAGAGATGTATATCCTTTCACAGAATAATCATGCTCTATGTAAAAAAACATGAATTATACCCCACAGTCACCTGGCACTGCCACACAAAGATAATATTTCCAGTTACTTTTCTGCACATGCTTATATAAGCTGTCTTCACACTTGATTCTGAAGCCAATGCATGTGTGTGTATATATATTATGTATACATATATAATATATAAACAAACATACTGTAATACATATATAATATATGTGCTGTTTATATATAGTATATATAAACAAACATACTGTAAACCTGGAAATAATGAGACTGTTCCATGGTAGAAGATGCACTGTTTTGTGTGACAGTATTGTCAGCAGCCTTTGGAATGTACGTATGTGAACACACACACACACACGAAAAGCAGGGAGAGAGAGAGAGAGAGACAATCTTTCATCTGGTGGTTCATGCCCCAAATGGTCACAGTGGCTGGACCAGGCCAGCCCAGCCCAGCGGCAGTAGCTAGGAATTCCACCCTGTTTTCCCACAAATGTTTGGGCCATCACTCGCTGCCTTTACAAGCACACTAGCAGGGAGCTAGATCACAGGAATTGAACAGGCACCGGGATATGGACGTTGGTGTTGCAAGCAGTGACTTAACCCACTACACCACACCCAATGCCCATCTACTAGTTCATTGCCTAAATGCCCTCAATAGCTACAACTGAGTGAGGCCAAAGCCAGGAGTCTGGAATTCAATGCAGGTCTCCAAGGTGGGTCTAAGAACCTGAGTCACCTCTCACTGCTTCCGGGGTGCGTACTAAAAGGAAGCTGGAATTGTAAGCCAGAGCCATTACTTAAACCCAGGCACTCCAGTATAGGAGGTGGGCATCTCAAGTAGTGCCTTAATTGCTGTTGCAATTAACACGTTGCAGCATTTTCAATTGCATGCTTGCAGCCTAAGGTCTGCCATGCTTCTAACTGGTCCTAAAAAGGTTAAAAAAACAAAAACAAAAACAAAACAAAAACAAAACATAAAAAACAAAAAACTAGGCAGTGGGCCTGGTGTGGTGGCCTAGTGGCTATGGCCCTCGCCTTGAATGTGACAGCATCCCATTTGGGTGCCAGTTCATGTCCTTGCATCTCCGTTTCCCATCCAGTTCTCTGTTTGTGGCCTGGGAAAGCAGTTGAGGATGGCACAAAGCCTTGGGACCCTGCACCTGTGTGGGAGACCTGGAAGAGCTCCTGGCTCCTGGCTTCTGATCGGCACAGCACCGACTGTTGCGGTTACATTGGGTGGAAGATCTTCCTCTCTATCTCTCCTCCTCTCTGTATATCTGCCTTTCCAATAAAAATAAATAAATCTTTTTAAAAAATCTCTGAATGATAAGAAAAAACAAAAACAAAAAAACTGGACAGCAGGGGTGCAGCTCTGCCAGCCTGCATGAAATCACTGAGTCTGGCCCTGCCATGGCACCATCCTGTGGCAAGATCAGAATGCAGCCAATCCGTAGCTGACTCATTTCTGGGCTGATAATGGCCCTGCGAAAAATGCTGTAAATACCCACGTGGCCCCTGGCAGAAGAAAGGTGTCCTGGCCCTAACCAAGACTAACCAGCTTCAGGAATACTCCAGGCTGCTGTGCCGTTGCTGGCAAGAAAAGGGCTCATTTTATCTCAACGTTTGGGAAGAGCAGGTACTTCCCTCAGCTTCCTTGCTGGACAGTATGGGGCATAATCTGGTTACTCTCCACACACAGGACAAGCATCCTGTTGTTTCCCACAAGCACTGGGTACCTCCCAGGGGCGGTTCAGTTTCTGTGGTGACAACCACGAACGTGAGCGATGGCCAGAGAGTTGCCTTTCCCGCAACTATTATCAAAAAGCTAGGTCAAGGTTATTTTCCGTTCGCTGGATCACAGCAGGCAAACGCTCATGTTATCTGCTCAGTGGGTTTAGACATTGCTTGGAATACCCACACCCCATGTTGGGGTGCCTAGGTTTAAGTTCACCTCTAGTCCTGATTTTGATTTCCTGACAATATGCACCCTCGGATATACTGGGCGATGGCTCGAGTGACTAGGTCCTTGCTAGCCACTTGGAGACCCAGATTAAGCTGCAGGCTCTGGCTAGGCCTGTCCTTGCCACTGGAGGCCTTTGGAGTGAACCAGCAGATGGAACATATCTCTGCCTTCCAAACAGGATTCTTTCTCTACAAAAAGATCCAGCCCCATTCTAAGGTTGTGGGCTTGGCGATCTTTCAGCTTCCTGTGTGTCCTGCATGGATGTCTCCTCCTGGCCTCTGGGTGGCGCCATCGCCCTTCCCTGGCTAGAGCCCAGTGGGCCCTTCCAATCGGTGCTCTGAAGCAGCTGTTTCCCAGGTGAGGTCTCTGGTCCCTCTTTGCAGCAGCTCTTACTGTGCGCGTGTGAGGACTGGGCACCTTCTTCTGCCTGTGTCTATGCTGCTGCTTATCATCAGCTTTGGGCCTTTCAGGCTGATCAGACCCAACTTGCCCAGCCTCCAGCTGTGCTGCAGCCTGGATGGGGCTTGTTTTCAGCGGTGGTCCCCAACATGACAGAACTGAGAGGTGATGGAACTTTGGGGAGGTGTGGGAGGTGAGTCGGTCACTGCTGCTCTTGGAAGGCCTTCAGGGCGGACTCTAGGTGGGGGGTTAGGGCCCGAGGGTTGCTGTGGAGAGTCCAGCTTTCTCAGCTTGCCTTCTTGCCTCCTCCTGCGATATGTGCCACTCGCTGCTCTCTCTCCTGCGTCATGCTCCTGGCACGTGATGCTGTGCATGCAGAGGCCCTCACAGAAGCCTGGGCAAACAGGCCTCCTTCCTTTACAGCTGCCCAGCCTAGTGCAGCATAAATGAACTCGGAGACTACACTGAGCAGGCCTGGCTGCCAGGGCCCAGGCTCTGGGTCCCACATACACCGACCTTGAGGACACACAGTGCCACTCCCTAACCTGCATCTTGTTGACTGACCAGTCAAGGTCCCCCGTCTAGGAGGCCTTCCGTGCCGCCTTCTCCTGGGCTGAGGCAGGTGGAGGTCCAGGCCTAGTGGGGCAGTGGCCGGGAGGGGACGGAACGCTAACTGCTTTCTGATAAGACTTTCCGTCCTGTCTTTCCAGAGCGCATGCTTGCACGCCGCCAGAGGATGTGGCTTCCCAAGTCTGTTGCGCACGTTTTCGCACCATTTTCTGCCGTGAAGCCTCTGAAATCTTGCTGCACCCACCTCCTCTTTTGCCTCAGCTTTACTGGGTTTGAGGCTAGGGAGCTGCATGTGTGTCTAACTTCCATGTTTAATAAGTACTCTTGTAGGGTTTATGCGTGGATAAAACACATCTGGCCTGCTGGTGTCACCGTCACTTTAGTAAATCTACACTCGGGCAATGGGTGAGCCTGGGGCTGAGCCAGACACTGTGAGAAGCCTGTTTCTAGCTGCTGCAAGCCTGGAAAGCACTTGACGGAGGAGCCAGGGTGTAAGGGCTAACTACCAGGCCTGGCCCACCCATACCTGCTGCTGCGCAGGCCTCCCCTGCCGCTAGTGCTGCAGAGGGCTTCCCAAAGAGCCCTTGACCTTGGCACAACTGAGCAAACAGAATGTGACCCACAGGAGCCACCCTGCTGTTTGGTGGCAAAGCCTGCACATGCCCACACAGGCTCTACAGGAAAAGCAGGCCACGGGGGCTGGCGGGTCTTGGAAATGGGAAATGGGGGTAGTTATGATGGGAACAATGCCATTAAGAATGGTAAGGTTCCCCCACCCCCAGTCACTGTCAGCAAATACTGCTTCTCACTACCCACGAAACAAACTCACCTCTTCAACCTTTTTGACCAGTGGACGTGAGTTTCTGATGAAAGTGATCTTACCAAGTTTAAATTCGTAATTGGGAATTCCCCTGTAATGACAGAGAAGGAGATACGCTCATTTCAGAGGCAGGAGAGGACGCACGGTGATTCTGACGGTCAAGGGCGAGGCCAGCAGGAAGGACAGCGTCTCCTTGGGGACCCATCCCACTGCAGCACCCTCCCAGCAGGGAGACCGGAGGGAAGTACAGATTTCAGGTTTGGCTTACACACTGAGTGTAGGGCAGGCCACTGCAGACTCTAGGGTCACAGGGACATAACGGGAGGTCTGAAAAGGCTACACTCCCCCCTGGAGACTCAGTAGGAACCCCATTTCTTATTGTCTATGCTGTGATGGCTGCCAGGGGAGGGATCTGCTGGGAGGGTGCTGGGACCCCACAGGGACTCTCCCTCCAATCGGGAACAGGAGGCGGCTGAGTCCACCCCATTGGGGCTTGTCACAGGAGCTAGAGCGAGGCTGCCCTTGCCCGGGGGAGTGGCTGGCACGGACCTTCCCTACATGACAGCATGGCTCCCCGACCAGGAGCAGAGCCAGGACAGACTCACCTTTTAATGTCTCCAGGCTTGAGTGGGGAGGGGCTGGGCTCCACCCCTTTCTTCTTTCCATCCAGTCTGTTCCCAGAGCCGGAGAAGGCCTAGGAAGGCAAGTCACAGGGTCAGGTGCTGAGCCCCCGGATTGACACCCAAGTGCCCTGTGCTGAGACAGCTGCAGGGATGCAAGCTGGGGGCTGCCTCCTCTTCTTCCTTCCCCAGGTGCTTGGGGCTGACTGCTGAGCGCTCTCCACCTGCCCTGCACAGGCTGAGCTGAGGAGGTCCCTCTGGCTGGCTGGCAGCCATGGATGCATTCATGGGCCTGTCGGCCTCTGCAGGAGCTGGCCTGTCGGCCTCTGATGTGTCTGACTCCTGCTCAGCTTTCTCTTGGCCAGCTGCTACTTGCTAGCAAGTACAGAGTACTCATAGCTGAGCCCCTGCCACCTGGTCACCAGCAAGCTTGGCCAGGCGGCTGTTTCTGACTATACTCGCCTTCAAATGGGACAGGCAAAGGGAAACAGGACAGTGGTGAACCTGAGGAAAGGACACGTGTGTGCCTGGTGATGGTAGGGGAGACATCTGGGGAAGGAAGAACTGAGCACCACCTTATAGGGCTGTTTGGGAGCACTCCAGGAGAAAGTGGGTGTAAAGGGGTTTGGTAACTAAGCAGACGGCAGGCTTCAGCCCCTGCTGATGGCCCAGCATCAGAGGATGCCTGGGGTGGAGGCAGCAGAGGGCCTGGTGGGGACCAGCAGACAAGGTGACGGGGTCCAGTACTCACGCGGAAGCCCAGCTCTCCAGTGTAGCTGCTGTGCTCAGGCTCGCCTTCCTGTTGGGGAGACAGGGACCCGGGGTGAGCTTCCCAAGAGGCCTGCCAAGCCCCTCCCTGAGCCTCCGTGTCTACTGCTGCCTGCACCCCAACACCGGGCCATCCCATATCGCTTGTCTCCCATCTCCACCCCCCAGAACAGGCCTGGAGAAAGCTGGACAACTCAGAGCAGTCCCAGAACCCAAACCAGGAAGCGTGCAGGGTGCGGAGGGGGGGGCGGGGGCCGCGTCGCTGAAGTCACTCACTGTTGACTCCTCGTGCTGCACCTGTCTCTCGGGTTCTTTGTAGCCCAGAGGAGCATCGAAGTCCACCTAGGTTGCCAAGATGAAAAGTAAAATCTTTGCAACACGACCCTATTTGGATTTCTCGTTTGTTTTGGTTTTTAAAGACTTATTTATTTATTTGAAAAGCATTATGGCAGAGAGAGAGAGAGAGAAAGAGGTCTTCCATCTTCCGGTTCACTTCTTAAATAGCTGCCACAGCCTGGGCGTGGCGTGGCACAAGCCAGGGACTTATTCCAAGTCTCCTATGTTTTCCTGATGCTTTTCCAAGGCCACTGACAGGGAGCTGGATCAGAAGCCGAGCAAGACGAAACCGGCAACCATGCAGAATGCCAATGTTATAGACAGTGGCTTGAACTTACAGCACTGACCCCTAAAATTAATTTATTTTAAAGGCAGAGTACCAGAAAAGGAGAAACTGAGAAGGAGGGGGAGGCACAGAAAGTTCTTCAACCAAATGATTCACTACCCAGTTGGCCTCAACGAAATCTGTGCTAGGCTGAAGCAAGGAGCCAGAAACTACACCCTAGTCTCCCATGTGGGTGGCAGGGACCCATGCACTGTGTGTGTGTGTAGGACAACTGATGGGACATCATTTGTATGAGAACAATTGATTGGACACCATCTGAATGGGAACAGTTGATTGGATATACAAAACAGACACTTTCAAAGGTGTGGAATCAACTGATGGGTTCCATACACAGGCTTATGGGAACTATGTAAGCTCCTCAATACCTCCTCCCTTATCCTATGTCATCCCCAGTCTTTAAAAGCTTGATACCACTAATAAATTTCGGCTAGTGGGGCCCAGCGTGATAGCGTAGTGGTTAAGGTTCTTGCCTTGAATGCGACAGCATCTCGTATGGGCACTGGTTCTAATCCCAGCAGCCTCGCTTCCCATCCAGCTCCCTGCTTGTGGCCTGGGAAAGCAGTGGAGGGTGGTCCAAAGCTTTGGGACTCTGCACCCACGTGGAGACCTGGAGAAGGTTCCTGGCTCCTGGCTTCAGACTGACTCAGCTCTGGCCATTGTGGCCACTTGGGGAGTGAATCATCGCATGGAAAATCTTCCTCTCTGTCTCTCCTCCTCTCTGTATATCTGCCTTTTCAATAAAGATAAAGGGGCAGGTGCCATGGCACAGCAGATTAAGCCAATGCCTGGAAGGCTGACATCCCATATTAGAGTGCTGCTTCAAGTCCCGGCTGCTCTGCTTCTGACCTAACTCCCTGCTAATGCGCCTGGGACAGCGGGAGACGATGGTCCAGGGACTTGGGTCCCTGCCACCCACGGGGTGATCAGGATGGAGTGCGAGGCTCCTGTCTTCAACCTGGCCTAGCTCTTGGAGAGGAAACCAGCGGATGGAAGATCTCTCTCAGTCTAGAATCCATCATTTTTCATAATATCCATTTTTTTGCAGCTCCCTCATATGCATGTATTTCAAATACTTCTGCACTGAAACTAGCTGATCTTTCAGTTCCATTTTCCAGGAAGGCTCTGAAGTCCACAGGCGAGGGGTACTCCAGCCCCGTTCAGGAAGCTGGGAGGGCCTCCCGCGATCTGAACAGTTCATTCACCCTTCCGGCAGTTCCAGGCTGAGCCCTGGGGGGGTAGACCCTACCACAGCCACCAGGTTGCTGGCCTCCTCCTCACCCAAGTGGTCCCAGGGGTTGTGTGACACCCTCTGCGGGCCCTAGTTGGCAGGTGTCACCAACCGCCTGCCTTCTCAGGGCTCATGCTCCCTGAAACTGGACAGTCACTTACATTCATGTCACACTCGATGATGGACACAGCCTTGTCAGGTTTGGTCTCCATCACCCGCAGCTCGTAGATCTGTGGGAAGAGGGTGGAAGTCAGAAGTTCCCTGCCAGGCATTTATTGTAAATTAACAGTTGAGTCCTCAGAAAGAAAAGTCCTAAGGTGCTCACTCCAACGTTGCCAAATGCCTATGCATAGATCAGTTGAATGATTTTTCTCTGCCCCACATGAACAAATCAGAGTTACACAAGGGGACACCGTGTGGCCAACAGCAAAGCTGCTGTGTCTGGGCTGACCTGAGGCCTGCAAAGGAGGGTAAAGAAGGCAGAGGCGGCCCCTGGACGTTGTCCTCCACCTTCACAGCTTCCTTCTCTGCACCTTGACCGCATCTCGCTTTTGCAATCATTTTACACAGATCTGGAGAGTTCCATCATGAAAGAAACCCCAAGAGGGCCCAGTGGGGCTATGTGTCACTGAGTGGCTGTGACATATTTACCCAGTCAGCGCTGGGGCTTGTTGCTGCTGGGACAGGTACTAGGTCACAGCAGGAGCGGGTCACAGATGGAGGCTGCCAAGAGGGAAACTGGAAGACAGTTTACAAGAAACACCGAACACACTGCCATAGCACAGGCAGGAATCACAAGGTCGGGGACCCAGGCCCAAGGAGGCCTTAACTCAGACTACAAGGCAGTAACGAGGGGCTAAGGGCTCAGGATCCTTGCTCATACAAAAGCCCCAACCCACACCAGAAAGGACATGGCAGTGGCTCTTGCTGGGTGCAAGCCAGGCTTACCTTCTCATTATAGTTGATGGCAATGACGTCCCCGGTGGTCAGACAGGCAAAGTTCCTGAGCGCGTTTTCCAAACTGGATACCCAGTGTCAAGAAGCCAAGCAAGATGGGAACATCACACACACACACACACACACACGCACACACACGCACACACTCACACACACACACGCGCACACACGCACACACACGCACCCCTAGTACAAGATGGGAGCATTGTTTATACACACACCTAATGCCAAGGCAAGGTGGAAACTTCACAAAACTCATGAAAACCATGGCACGGGTGAACATGCTTATCAAACAGGACTAGGCACGTGTGTTAATGTGTAAATTAGGCCTCAATACAACTGCATGGAAAAAAAAATCCTGTGGAGCACAGAAGATGGAATGAGAGCCCTTCATCCCATATAGGTACTGGTTTCAGTCCTAGCTACACTATTTCAAATTCAGCTCCCTGCTGAGGTGCTTGGGAAAGCAGCAGGGGACAGCCCAAGTGCATGGGCCTCTGCACCCATGTGGGAGACCAGAAGCAGCCCTGGCTCCTGGTTGCGGCTTGGCCCAGTCCTGTTCACTGCGGCCATTTATGGAGTGAACCAGCAGATGGAAGGTCCGTCTGTCTCTGCAACTTTGCCTTTCAAAGAAACTTTAAAAACAGAAACCCATGGGGCTAGTGCAATAGCTCTACTGTCTAATCCTCCCCCTTCAAGCACGGGCAAGCCATATGGGCACTGGTAGTGTTCATACGGGGGCAGCCTATTCATGTGCATACACAAAACATGTGGTCCTTTTCAGTTCGCAGATTTTACATGAAAAGGCAGCTCTGAGCCTGGTGTGATGGCTCAATGGTAAACTCTTCATCTTTCAAGTGCCGGGATCCCATATGGATGCCAGTTTTTGTTCCAATTACTCTGCTTTCCATCCGGCTCCCTGCTTGTAGCCTGGGAAAGCAGTGGAGGCCAGCCCGATTGGGATTCTACATCCATGTGGGAGACCTAGAAGCAGCTCCTGGCTCCTGGCTTCGGACTGGCACAGCCCCGAATGCTGCAGCCACTTGGGGAGTGAACCAGTGGTGGAGAATCTATCTCTCCCTTTCTCCCTAGGTCTTATCAGTCTTTCCAATAGAAATAAATTAATCTTTTAAAGCTTATCTTTCATGGCAGCACACCCCTCCTTTGCCTAGTGGCCCTCTCATTTCAAAAGGATACACTGCTTTCGGGTTGGTGATGTCCAGGAAGTCGGGGCTCTGTGGCTGGAACTTGGAGTAGGTGGCCACTTGCAGGTTGACGCTCTCCACCTGGACCAAGCCTCCTTCCTCCAGCAGCAGGTTCTGCATCATCTGGAACCATGAACAAGGCTGCCTGAGGCTCCTGGGAACCAGGCAGTCTATAGGCCATGGCCGGCCGGCCGGCCAGCGCAGTAAGCAGACCAAAGGGACACCTGGACTGCTGGGAAGCAGCAGCCGAGTCCACTGTGATGTGACGTCAGGAGTGAGAGAAGGGATGTCCCTGGGGCTGTAGCCTGCTGCCTTTGGCCGGCTTGGGTGCTAGCTCCAGGAGGCCCTGAATGGAGAGCAACCTACAAGGGGCCGGGATCAAACAGGACTGCTTGTGAGGCAGGCTGAGGCCTGCTGGAGAGGGTTATAAAGGAAGTGACAGTGAGAACTCTTAAGTCTTGCCTCCGTGAAACCCCTGGTGAAGAGCAAGACAGAGAGGTGGAGAGAGCCTGTGGGGACCTGAGGGTCCACTGCAGGGGGCCAAAACCCAGCTCAGGGTCAATTTGCTTCTCTTGTCATAAACCTTCTTCAAGAGAATGTCAGGCATCCACATAGGGAGAATGGTGCAAGTGTGCTTTGCACGCCTGGTCCTGATGACCATGGTGATGACCAACAGGGGTCACCATGGTCCATTTCCTCTCTTCCCCAGAGTCCTGTCCCCCTTGTCCCTCCCACCCTGGCTTGCCTGAGATGCCAGGGGGCATCACCTCCTGCTGCAGTTAGGGGAGGAACCAGAGGAGCCTACAGATGTCCTAACACACTTGCATGGAAAGGACCGCGGCATTCCAGACATGACAGGAACAGAGGGCGGTCTGCCTGCCGGATGCCTTGGGTAGGTGCAGCAGGTTGATCAAAGTGGATCTGCTGCAGGCTGAGCACCCAGCCCCTTAGGGAGACGTCTCTGGCAGTGAGTAGAAGGCGGCTGAGTGTCAGCACGAGGGGCTGTGAAGTCCACGCAGGCCTGAGGGAAGCCTGGCCAGAAGCAGGACATAGCCATGCAGTGTGAACAGCAGGGGCAGGAGACAGGGCCAGGCCAGGGCTTGGGAGGGAGAACCAACCTGCCGGAAGAGCCCTGAGGGTGGCAAGGAGGTCAGCAGTAGAGATGGCACTCCACTCCAGCCCAGCAGAGCACACACAGCACGGTGGGCACTCAGGAGAGGCTCAAGCAGGAATAGAGGCTTCTCAGCAGGGGAAGGCCTGGCTGGCTGCCTGTGGAGGAGCTGGGGCTCAAGGTGGACGGAGCTGTCTCGGGCCAAGACCAGGTCTCTGCTCACACACCCTGGGGGTCCAGCAGACACAGGGGGCCTCGCAGCCCACCCAGTGGCATCCTGGTAGTCGTGATGCACCTTACAGACGGGGCTTCATTCCGTGTTCTCACCCAAAGCAGCTCGCAGCCCCCCAGCTCTACGAGGTCCAGGAGAATCTTTGAGCTATGACATTCTCCCAGGGCCCACGCCCTTCACCTCTACAGGTGAGCTGCCAGAGGGGGCCTGTGCGGGTGCAGAGGGGACTGGGGAGGAGCCCCTGCCTGTGCTTCAACTGCCCAGAGAGGCCTCTGTGAGCAGGTGCACTATTGATGAACAGGACACGACCTGTGCCCCCAGAGGGGGAGTGCGAGGGCGCGCACACCCACGCAGCACAGCAGGAGCAGGCGAGGAGAGAGCCTCTCGAGACCGCGGCAGGCCCACTCACCCAGTGGGGCAGGTAGCAGATGCCCTCATCGGCCACAAATTCCAGCACGCCACAGTGCGTCATCCGGTCTGAGTTCTTGTTGGTCAGTTTGAACAGCATGGGGTAGGTGATGTTAAGTCGGCCTACACAGGACACAGGCATTGAGGTCCGGCTCCCAGGAAGGGAGAGACACTTGCTCTCCCAGTGCCCTCCCTGGAAAGAGCTTCCCACCACCCAGCATGCCCCCCGAGTCCCTGGAGGCATCACCTGCGTAATGGCGGGGCACAGCACAGCATGTGGCCCACACAGCAGCCTGGGGATACCTGATGACCCTATAACACAGTCACTGGCACTGATGTGCGATCACCTCAAAGCGCTACTCTTCAAAGTGACACATTCATTCACTCATTCATAGGCAATTTATATGCCACGTGCTGGACAAAATCCTCTCCTTAAGAGGTTTCTATGACAAAGGTGAGAAAGAACACAGGTGCACCCCGATGTAGCAGATGCTGTGGGGAGGGAGCCCCCAGGTAGGGCAGAGCCGCTGGGCCAGGGAGAGACTCTCAGGCAGGGTAGGCAGCCTAGGCATGGTGAGGGCTGGCAGCTGCATGAGACAGACCTGGCACTGGGGAGGGAGGCTGGGCCGGGCCACCGCCCAGGAGGATCTAGTGCCAGAGCCCAGCATTTGCTATTGATTCGGCAGGCTCCCCACACAGGGAGAGGTGCTCAGAGGGTGGGAGTCAGCAGATCCTAGGGAGAAGCTTGCCAGCAATCCCAGAGACCCCAGACACTGGGGAGGAGTCTGAGAAAGCATGGATGGTATGGATGTTCCAGGCCATCAGGCAGGTCCCAACATTGCCCCTTTTCATCTATGGGGAAACCAAGCCCACAAGTTATGTCACGTGCTCAGGGTCACCCAGCCTGACTTCAGTTCTGGGACACACAGCCAAGTCACTGGCTTCAGGCTGGGAACTGGACCACTACGGCTGCTGGAGGTGAAGACTAGCAGGCTCAGCAGAATTCCCACCGAGCTTTAGGACCTAAAGCAGGCCCTATCTGGGCCCTCCCCACCAAGGAGAGCCCAAGAGCTGGGGCAGCAAGCTCCAGGGGAGGACTAGCCAGACAAGTGCACCTCCCAGGGCTGCTGATGCTCAGGACCACAGCCCCATCTGCAGGATGCTCACTGGTGGTGCAGCTAGATGGGCTCCAGCCAAGGGCCCCAGATGGCTCCTTCCAGGGACCCCCAAACTTCTTCTTGTACCAGACAGGAGCGCCCTGGGGGTTCCACCAGCCTTCTGTATCCCCTCCCTTCCTCCAACCCCGTTATCTTATAAGTCAGAATGCCCTGCAGTGGTTTCCACCGTTTTAAGGGCTCGATCAACTCAGGATCTGAATCTTGTTGGTCAGTGACCCAAGCCTGCCTGGCTTTCTCCTGGGCACTTGGCCAAGGCTCACAAACAATGCCCAGCTCCTAGGTAAGCTTATCCCAAAAGGCCTTCCTGGGGCCTGTTCCTGCCTCTATATCAGGTCTGTTGATGACAGGGAACCCCGCCAGATACTGTCCACTTTGCTGGGTATGGCCATGGCTGGTGCTGACTCAAGGTAACCCCAATTTCCTTGTGGCTGGGGCCAGATGGGCTGGGGTTGTTCTCTCTCTCTCTCTCTCTCTCTCTTACACACACACACACACATCCAGTGGCACTATAGATGGCCCTGGTTAGAAAAGGTGACATTGGGGCCTGGCACAGTAGCCTAATGGCTGAAGTCCTTGCTTTGCAGGCACTGGGTTCCTAACGGGCACCAGTTCGTGACCCAGTCACCCCGCTTCCCATCCAGCTCCCTGCTTGCAGCCTGGGACCCTGCACCTGCATGGGAGACCTGGAAGACCTGGTTCCTGGCTTCAGACTGGTTCAGTTCTGACCATTGTGGCCACTTAGGGGAGTGAACCAGTGGATGGAAGATCTTTCTCTTTATCTCTCCATTTCTATGTAAATCTGACTTTCCAGTAAACAAGTCTTTAAAAAAACAAAATAAATGTGGGAGGAACCTGCTGCTGGGGTCATCCTCTTGGCGTCAGATCATGTTTTCCCTTAGAAGAAAAGCTGGGGCGCCTATGCAGGCGCAGCACAAAGCATTTGGGGTCCCCTGCCATCATGTTAAAGGCCACCCACAGGGAAGCTGAGGCACTCAGGGTTCTGTGACCTGGCCTGCACCCTGGCCACAAGCACACCCTCTCTCCACCCTGGGTGCCCTGGGCTCAGGCCTCCCTGTCAAACAGGTGCTCTCCGGGGTAAGTTCCTGGTCAGAAGGGGAAACAGGGTGTCTGGGCCTGATGTTCGGGGAGCCTAGGTTGACTCCTGCTATCCATGACATGACCTAAGACTTGTCAAGTCACCCGGAAAATACTTACTGAGTTGATCCAGGGCCGAGGGCGGCATAATTACTGTAAAAAAGAACATTTAAGAGATATTAATAAATAAACAAACAAACAAGGACAGACCAAGGCAAGATGTGGTTTCTGTTCTGTCTTTGCAAACAACGTTTTTAAGTGGAATTTAAGGGTAGTCAGAATTTTATAATCATCTTTCAGGAAGCATCTTCTTGGCCTCATTTATTTTGGGGAGCTGAAGTGGGGACCCCGCAGCCGCAGCCCACCCCCCCACCATGCCAGCCCCGGGGAAGAGTCACGCTCTCCCACAGGCGCTGTTCTGGTCCCCGAGGGTGTGGTGAGGCCTGGGGAAGGCTGACAAGCATTTAGACGCGGGACAGGAGAGGTTATGGTAGTCAAAATAGAAACGAGCACATACTCTTCCCGCCTTTCTCCACATCTGACCTGTCATTCGGCCCGGCGAACATGGAGACGGAGAAGCAGCGGTACTGTGTGGAAAAGCGGTTTTGGAAGACACGGGGAATCGGGTGGTCGAACATGTTGAACGAGAACTAGGAGGAGAAAAGGGAAGGCTGATGTTACGACAGGACGCTGGGACTGTGCTTCGCGCGGACGCGAGCGCAGGCAACCCTCAGGGTCAGCGTCGGTGTCGCCAAACGTCACTGAAGATCAACCACAATGGCCTGGGAACCTCGCCTCCTGGTTGCGGGGCCCAGCCTCGCCCCCGAGTTTAGTCTCTACAGATTCATCTGGTGGGGTCTTCCTGGCCACGCCAAGCCTGCCCTTCACCCCTTGCCGTCTGCCTCCTGACCTTAGGATCCCTAGCACACTGTGTGTGAACTAGTGACCAACAGTCCCACAGGCTCCCAAACCTGCCTTGCACCTGCTGGGCTAGTTCTCTACTTGGAAAATCACCCGCTCCTAAAAACATCTCTTTATTAAGTGCCTGTTATCTACTGGGCTATATCACAAAACATTTGAAAGGCAGATCTTTCACTCCTAGGTTTACTCCCCAGATGGCTAGAGCGAGGTCAGGAGCTTCTTCCAGGCCTCCCACACGGGTGCAGGGCCCAAGGACTTGAGTTATCTGTTGCTTTCCCAGGCACGGGAGAGAGTGATGGATCTGTACAACGGGAGCGGGACTGGAAGTGGAGCAGCCAAAACTTGGACCGGACAAGATGTTGGCACTGCTATGCCACAGCACTGTCCCCGGGAATGCTCCATAAGAGACGCTGAGCAGAGGGGCAGAGTGGCACGTGGCCTGACAGGCAGCCAGGCCGTGAAGAGGAAGACGCACAGGTGCCTTCCTCAGGCCTCCTGCCCTTTCTCCAGGAACACTGCCTGGCTGCCCCAGGACTGGGCCTCGAGCCTGTCCAGCGTGCTCTCCCAGCACACAGCAGGTACACGGGTTGCGCTCCACAGGTCAACAAGCAAAGTCACATCAGGAGAAAAACTGAGCTACGGACTCCAGGGAAGCTTTGCCAACCTGGCACACGCACATCAAGGTGGAGTCCGAGCGTATGGGAATTACGACAGTGCTGAAGAGAATAAAAGCGCAGGTGGCTGGTGTAGTGGCTACACCACTGGTCGGGACAGTCACCCACTCCCAGTGGCCTTCGTCCAGTCCTGCCACGGCTCCAGATTCCAACTTGCACTCACACGCACCCTGCTAGGCCCCTACAAAGCTATGTTTTCACAAGCACAGAAAGCAGCATCTAGAGCAGCCATCTGCACACTTGCGCTCCCAGCGGGGGAAGGTGGCGGCCACCCAGATGCTCTGGACAGGTCAGCGAACCACGAGTGGAGCAGTCACCTGAGGGAATGGGACTCAGCAGGGCCCCGTGTGATGGCTCAGGGGCTAAATCCTCTTCTCGCACGCACTGGGATCCCATGCAGGTGCATGCCAGTTTGCGTCCTGGATGCTCCCCTTCCGATACAGCTCCCTGCTTGTAGCCTGGGAAAGCAGTCGAGGACGGCCCAAAGCCTTGGGACCCTGCACCTGCATGGGAGACCTGGAAGAGGTGCCTGCCTTGGATTGGCTCAGTTCCAGCCTTTGTGGTTACTTGGGGAGTGAGCCAAACTGACGGAAGATCTTTCTGTCTCTCCTTCTCTTCCTAAATCTGCCTGTCTAATAAAAATAAATTTAAAGAGGTATTTAAAACCTGTGCCTTCAGTGGATGGAAGATCTGTTTCTCTCCATCTCTCTGTTATTATTATGACTTTCAAATAAAGCCATTTTTATATTGTGAATAACCTCCCTTCAGTTTATCCATGAGCCTGAGCAGGGACCCGCTGCTCTTGTCTTCCCTTTTTTTTAATCTCTAAAGATTTATTTTTAAAATTTTTATTGCAAAGTCAGATTTACAGAGAGAAGCAGAAACAAAGAGGAAGATCTTCTGTCCAATGATTCACTCCCCAAAGCGGCCGCAACGGCTAAAGCAGAGCCGATCCGAAGCCAGGAGCCAGAAACCTTTTCCGGGTCTCCAACGAGGGGTAGGATCCCAAGTCTTTGAGCCCTGCTTGACTGCTTTCCCAGGCCACAAACAGGGAGCTGGATGGGAAGCGGGGGAGCCGGGACAGGACACGGAGCCATATGGGACCCCAGCTCTTGCAAGGCAAGGTTTTAGCCACTAGGCTACCTCTCCGGGCTCCTGTATCTCTTCTTTACACCACTGATAGCTTAGTTCAACGCCAGGCACTCTGACCCGATACCCAGGGTCTGTAGGAGGAACCCCCTTAGAAGCGCAAGCGACCTGACCCTGCTACATTGACCATTCCTCGGACTGTCACCCCGCGAGGACCGGCTGTGAGCACTGCACAGCTGCCCGGGGTCTCAGCACCCCCGAAAGCGCGACGCCGGGGGAAGGGGGCGTCGGGCACAGCCCCGCTGCTCTGCCGGGGGACCCCGGGTTCGCGGCCCACCGCCGGGTGCAGCCGTGGGCGCCCGCAGGCCCGCTCCGGTGACTCGGCATCTCCGCCCCCGGCCCTCCCCGCCGGGCCCCGGCCTCGCGCGGCGCGTCCCGCCCGCCGCCCCGCGCCGCTCACTCACCATGATGAACCCCGCTTCGCCGACGCCGCTGCTCCCAGAGAACCGAGCGATGGAAACCAGCCGACAGTTTGACCGTCTGTAGCCGCCGCCTCACCGAAGCCCGGACGCCCCGGAAGGATCCCGGACGCCTACCGGAAGCGCCGAACCTGGGACCCGGAGTGGGGGGGACACGCCGAGGCCAGGAATCTGCTGCAAACGGGGTAAAGCCAGGTAAAGGTCATGGGAGACGTACTAAACGTAAATAGGAAAAATGCTCTTCACTAGCATATGTCTCCTCCTAAGGTACATTTTAATCTTTTAAAATTAAGTTTTAGCATTACACCCCTCCTAGCGAATTTGGTATAGCCCATTCTCGTTATTGACTACATTACCCAGAATGCAGCCACACTTCTTGGCCTTTGCCTCAGCCAGGGAAGATTCGGGCGGAAGTAAGCTACACATCTGACTTTGAACTGGATCCACATGGTACTGTAAGCACAACTGCCGGCCTCAATTAATGTCTAACTAAATTTCATGTATGATTAGATGTGAAATGTTTTCTGGACTTCCCGGTGGGAAATCGTAAGCTTCCCTTCCCGAAGTAAAGATGTCTACTGAACGCCGGGGTTTCTGGGTAAATCAGGGCACAATGTTTGCGTCCGGCCTCCGAGTTGACGTGGCTTGCCAGCTGGGAGAATGGGCCGGACCTTTCTAGGTGTGAGCGGCGGAGCTGCTGACCAATCGCAACGGAGGAAGGGCTGGGACTCGGAAAGCCATTGGTTGGGGGCTCTGGGCCAATGGGAAGAGCCGCGATTTGGCGGGAGTCTTGACTGGAGGCGGGGCTCGTGGTGTCCCACTGGAGCGCGGGGTGTCCGGCGGCCGTGGCTATGTTTGTGTCCGATTTCCGCAGGGAGTTCTATGAGCTGGTCCAGAGCCAGGTGACCGATCCCCCGCGGAGCGCGGACCTCACAGCCGGGGCCTTGGCGCGCGTGGGGGGCGGAAGGTCGTGTGTGGCGGGGAGGTGGTGGTGGTCCAGGGGTGGCCGGGGGTTCCGATCGCCGCGCTTAGCCCGCCCGCCCTTCCCCCTCCCCGGCAGAGGGTCCTGCTCTTTGTGGCCTCGGACGTGGATGCTCTGTGCGCTTGCAAGATCCTTCAGGTGAGCTCTGGGGGCCTGGGTGGGCTGGGGAGGGGAGGGGAAGAGTGGGGCTGGCTGGCGGGAGGTGAAGCGGAGGAACCGCCGGTGTAGACGAGTTCAAGTGTTTGCAATAGCCTGGGTGGGAGACAAAACTGTGGTGGCCTGAGGGGAATCTGACAGCTGAGGGGGGCAGTGGTGGCCTCAGGGGAGCCTGCTGATCTGTGAGGGAAGTCCTTGACATTGACATTGAGCTTCTCAGCTTTTGGGTTAGCAACCTGTTAGAAGACCTGCAAATATGATCAGCTTTACTCCCAGCATTTTACTTTGAAAAAAAAAAAAAAACTATTTGTGATTAAATTTTTTGTTTCTTTGTTTTGGTTCAATTTTTTTTTGTTTGTTTTTGTTTCTGGAGTTGCAACAAAGCTACCAGCAACAAAGTTACCAGAACCTGCCCCACCCCTGGCTTCTGCCGGGAAAGCTTCACTCACTTGGGGTCATTCCATCCTTTGTTTTAGCTTTGTTTTGACGTGTGTCAAGGTCACTTGGCGGCTGTTGTAAATAAGGTCGGCTTTGAAATTCTCTCTGCAGGCCCTTTTCCAGTGCGATCACGTACAGTACACGCTGGTCCCGGTTTCTGGGTGGCAAGAACTCGAAACTGCCTTTCTTGAGCATAAAGAACAGGTACGCAGGAAACACTTTGGAATGACTAGGTGCCAAAGGTTAGGAAGTTGTTGGGTGGAAATCTGATGGCGAGGGGTTTGCCATTTGTGGCACAGTGCGTTAAGCCACTGCTTGGCATGCCGACAGCCCATGACGCTTCTGCTTCTGATGCCGTTTCCTACTTTCTCACCTGGGAAGGCAGCAGGTGCTCCAGCCCCGTCACTGGAGGGAAGGTTGCAGTTTCTGGCACCTGGAAGAAACAGCCTGGCTCGGTCCTGTTGAGGACATTTGGGGAACGAACCTGTGGATGGAGGATTTCTGTCTCTTCCTCTCTTTGTAGCAAATAAATAAATCAACTACTGTCTTGTTATCTCTACACAAGAATCCGTCCCATGTTCCAGCTTGAAATCCAGGCATATAACTTCTTCTGGGATGGATTTATTTATTAGACAGAGCTTCGTTTCCCTGGTTTACGTCCCAGACGCCCACAATGGGCAATGCTGATTGGCAGCTAGAAGCTGGACCCTCAAGCTGCGTCCTCCGCCACTGCATCCCAGGGTCCGTGTTCTCGGGAACCTGGAGTTGGATGCCAGAGCCGGGAGTCAAACCCGGCTACCTTGACATAGGATATTGGCTTCTTAACCACTGAGCCAAACGTTACTCTGTTCTCTTTGGAATTTAAAAACGTATATAAAAGCAGGAGAGAGAAACACCTTCCATCTGTTGGGTCTGCAATGGTCAAAGCTGGGCCCATCTGAAGCCAGGAGCTTTCATCCGGTCTCCTGCGTAGGTGTAGGGTCCCAAGGACTTGAGCCATCCTCTACTGCTTTCCCAGGCCACAAGCAGGCAAGGGTGGGAAGTGGGGCCTGCTGGGATTGGAACCGGCACCCATATGGGATCCCTGTATGTGCTAGGCGAGGACTTTAGCCGCTAGGCTACCGTGCTGGGTCCTGGCCCCTGGAATAAAACAGTTAGTATAAAGAGTGACTCAAATAGTGACCCTAAGACTAACCCCACCATCCTGGACTCTGCCACATTGAATGCCTCAAGGCCTGTTTACCTAGTGCTGCCTTAAACCCCCTAGGTCTCGTCCCCTTGAATACCTGGTTGCACAGCACTACCGTAAACCTCCTAGATCTCAACCCCCTTAAAGTCCAGTTGCCTAATTAAGCCTACTGACCTTCAAGTTTAAACTGTGCACTGCACCAGTCTCCTGAGGCTTTTATCCCATCCCTGGTATCTACCTAGGGCCACATCTGCCACTCCCTGACCCTGCACTCCCTATCTCCCTACCCCAAGGCCGGAAAAGATGCCTCTCCCCTTGGTTCTTTCTTCTTTCCTGTGCTGTGCTCTTCCGTCTCTCTCTCTGCTCTATTCTTTGTCCACCCCCCCTCCTTTCTGCCCTGCTCTCATCTTCTCCCTAACCCACGCTATGATTCTCGCTGAAATACAGACTTCTCACGTGGCTCTCTTGATCTGTCGGCAGCTTGGGTTTGTGGGTAAAAGCTAACAGCTAGGATCTCTGCTACTTTTACGTCAGCTGGGACACAGTGGGCCTCACAGCGTGGGGCTGGGGGGCTGGGGAGCGTGGACCAGCATCCCTGGAGTCTCTGGAACCGTGTTGGCAGGGGTGACATCTCTGCCTAGGGTTCCTGTTGTCATGAGGGGCCTGGGCCAATTCAGTGTGCATAAGGAACAGACGCTCGATGTACCACTGTATGATCAAGATCTTTTTGAACTTGTCAGCGCGAGCCTCGGGCTGAGGGTGGCCGGGGCCGGGGGCCTCCTCGCTGTTTACTTGGAGAGTAACTTGGGCACTGCCGTCTTTCTTTCAGTTCCGTTATTTTATCCTTATAAACTGCGGCGCCAACGCAGACCTGCTGGATATCCTGCAGCCAGACGAACACTCTGTATTCTTCGTGTGTGACAGCCACAGACCTATCAATGTCATCAACGTGTACAATGACACCCAGGTACTGAGGCCTTCTAGGGGCCTCTCCCCTCTCCAGTTCGCTCCCCCTCTACCCGCCCATGCCCCTTGCTGCTCCATACCCTCTTCTACCCAGCCCTCCGAGGCCGGTTCTCCAAGGGGGAGCAAGCTGAACCCCAAAGTTTGGCCTTTCCTATCGGAGCTGACAGATAAGGCACCTTGTCCTTGGAGATGCTTGGGATCCACTTCTAGAATTTGCTTGCCCTGGAGCCTTTAAAAGGACTGCACTTCTTGGAAGCCCTGAGCCGTGAGCATGCCCACCCTAGCCCCGAGCAGTGCCCCCCCAGCATTCTATGCCTCCGTCTTCTCCCACCCCTGCATGCCTGGCCCTGCCAGGCTCACAGGAGGAGCTTCTGCAAGAGACACCAACCTGCCGTGGCTTCCAGAAGCAGCTGTGTTCACTTACTGCGTTCCAGCTTCTCTCGGTTCATTTTTTTTTTTTTTTCTGTGACTGTAATACAATAGTTCAGGCTGGGTCCCTTTATTTTTTTTTAAGACCCCCCTCCCCCTCCCTCCAAAGTTGGGTCCTTTATGAAGAAAAGAGGTCTTGGGGCACAGTTCTGGAAACTTCTGCCAGAGGGCAACACTGACATCTGCCGAGCTCTGGTGAGGCCCAGGGTGTGTGGCATCCCAGTGGCAGAAACACGTGTGATAGAGAGAGAGAGAGGTGCCCTGTGGTGGAATAGGAAGCCAGAGAGAGCGCCTAGAAAGCCCAGCTCCCACAGGAATAACCTCTTCTCGCGAGAACTCATCTGTTCTCGTGAGACCTGACCTGTCTGTGAGGGGCGGAACCCCCCCAAGGCCTAGATAGCATCCACTAGGCTCCCACCACCCAAGCACCAGGCTAGAAATTAAGCTTCCAGCATGGGAACCTTCGGGGAGCCAACGGCACAATCTCCAGGTCAGAGGGCACACTATGAGTTGGGATTCTAGATGCTTCTTCAAAGGCTGCTTCGATTGTCTTCATCGATGCCAGCCGTAGGGTGTGAGCCCAGCACCTCACTGAGCAGTGAGGGGAACAAGCCCACACCTGAGGAGGGTGGCTTCTTCAGCAGGAGGCTGCAGAGCGCTTGGAGGCGAAAAGGCTTGCGACTCGATTGCTTTTTTTTTCTCACACAGATCAAGTTGCTCATTAAGCAAGATGATGACCTCGAAGTGCCCGCCTACGAGGAAATCTTTAGGGATGATGAAGAGGATGAGGAGCACTCGGGGGAGGACAGCGACGACCAAGGGGCAGAAGAACCTTCTGGAAAGCGCTTGCGCTTAGAGGAGGTGGGTGGAGCCTCTGCTGACATCCCGAGGTCAGAGGTCAGCCATGGTGCCTGCTGGGAGTCTGGCAGGTGCAGCTGCTGACCTTACCTTAGACTCTGCTGCCCCTTCGCAGTGTGGCCCCTGACAGGTGGCTGGAGCCCTCTGAGCTGTGGTTTCCTTGTTTCTGTGGTAGGGTTCCGCTGACTGCAGTGACGTTCCGGCTGGTGGGGGATCCCCGCTACACAGGATCCCCGACTTAGGGCGGTAGGGTTGTTTGGGTTCATAGTTTTGGAGGTCTTCACTCCAAGCCCCCCCACTTGGTATGTCTCCCACTTGCTTCTGCCTCTAGCAACAGCTTTCCTGCTGGCAGTCAGTGCCCCTTGGCGAAAGGAACGTGCGTCTGTGTCTGTGTAGTCTCAGGCAAGGCTACCAATTTTATTCCTGGGGTCTCCACTCTAATAACCCAGTCCAACCTGGTCACTTCCTAAGATGGCCTTCCCTCAGCCACCATAATTGGATTAAGTATCGGCCCTTTTCATGTCATGAATTTAAGAACTTGGGGAATCAGATCTTTAACACATCGGCTTTTGGGGTTCTTTCAGTACCCAAACTGGCATCCAAACCCTAGCAGCTAAGTAGCAGGCATTAAAAAAAAATTATTTTTATTGGACCGTCAGATTTACAGAGAGAAGGAGAGATAGAAAGATCTTCCATCCGTTGGTTCACTCTCCAAGTGGATGCAGTGGTCAGAACTGAGCCAGTCCGAAACCTGGAGCCAGTAGCTTCTTCCGGGTCTCCCACACGGTTACAGGGTCCCAAGGCTTTAGGCCGTCCTCTACTGCTTTCCCAGACCGTTAGCAGGGAGCTGGATGGAAAGCGGGGCTGGTGGGATTAGAACCGGCGTCCATATGGGATCCCAGCGTGTGCAAGACGAGGACTTCAGCCACTAGACTACCGCCCTGAGCTACTAGGCTACCGTGCCTTATCTGAAAGGCAGTTATAAAGGTCTTCTATATGAAGATTCACTCCCCAAATGGCTGCAATAGCCAGATCTGGGCTGGTCTGGAGCCAGGAGCCAGGAGCTTCTTCTGGGTCTCCCACGCGGCTGAAGGAGTCGAAGCTCTTGAGGCATCCTCCGCTGCTTTTCCTGGCACAGCGAAGGAAGTGGACTGAAGTGCGGAAGAGTCTTCAAATCTGTGCCCATACGGCATGCCAGCGTTGCAGGCTATTGCTTAACCCTGTATATCAGAGTGCATTTTTTAAGGGCTATAGAAAAAGAATAAACATGTAGAAATAGCTATAAACAATAAACATATAGAAATAGATATAGGAATAAACAATAAAATAGCACAAGCCTCCTCTTTTCCATTCCCCTCCAGCATTCCTCACTGTGGAATCAGAGAAGCTGTAGGAACTCAGCTTGTCCAGTAGAGGGGGCTTGTCCAGTGCTAAGGCTTCTGTTAGATGCAGTTAGGAGCAGGAGGTGGTTTTTCCTCTATTGCCAGGGCTGTGTTTATTCCAGCGTTTAGAATTCCCAGTGTACAAAAATAATAATAATAAAAGAAAAGAAAAAGAATTCCCGGTGTAGCAGCTGTGCCCTCTGCTGATCCTTGGGTGTGCAACCTGGAAGCTTTTTTTGGGGTAGGCCTTTGGCCTAGCGGCTAAGGCCCCTGCACCCCACGTTGGAGTGCTTGGGTTTGATTCCCAGCTCCGCTTCTTCACTCCAGCTTCCAGGTGAAGTGGATCCCGGGGAGGCAGCAGCTGAAAGCTCGAGTGTTTGTGTCCCTGCCCATCACACATGAGACCTGGCTTCTGGCTTCTGGCTTCTGGCTTCTGGCTTCTGGCTTCGGCCTGGCCCAGTCCCGGCTGTTGGGAGAAAGTGGGAAGTGAAGCGACCAATGAGAGAGCCAGGACTACGACCCCAGGCGAGGTCTCTCCTTTGCACACGGCAGCTGTGGCTCGCAGCATGAACGGTCCAGTCCCCACGGGACGGCTGTCTTTGACTCCTCTGGCCATCCTGGGGGTCCTCGGGGCGTGCTCTAGCCACAGGCAGAAGGGACAGGACTCCACCATGCACTGTGTGGGTGCGGAGAGGGTCCCAGAAATCTCAAACTGTGGAGGCGTTCTTCGTAAAATTTCATGGAGCTTCATTTCCACACCGGCTATGCAGCTGGATGAGATGGACAAACAAAATCTGTCGCCACCCCTGCCATCATAAGAGAACTGTTCCATGCATGCCAAGGGCTCCTTCATGGCAGTATATATACATATATATATCACTTAGATACTTTGCTGGTTTCCTGCAGTGGCAACACAGTATCATCTCATCAGAACATTGACACTGAGAGAGTCGGCCTTTCTGCATAGGATAGCTCTTGTCCCCATTTTCTAGCCACACCCAGCTTCCTTCCCGAGCTCCTAGCAACCACTAAAGATCTCGATTTTTCCAGTTTTGTCATTTCAATGATGTTATGCAGGTGGAAAATGGAATTGGCTTTTCTTCACGCATGGTAAATCCCCAGGTGATTCATCCAGGTTGTTGCATATGTAAATAGTTCAGTTTTCCTCCAAGGAGCTTGATGCGCTTTGCAGTGAGACACATTCTATGTGTATTTCATACTTGCATAGAATTATATAGATGTCACTTATTTCTGTACTGACGGTGAACTCAGGGGTAACAAAAGTCAAAGTAAAAAAATACAAACTAAATATAAAACGAAAAATTACAGGCCTGATGCAGTAGCCTAGCGGCTAAAGTCCTTGTCTTGTATCCGCTGTGATCCCATATGGGTACTGGTTTATGTTCTGGTTCCCAACCAGCTACCTGCTTGTGGCCTGGGAAGGCAGTCAAGGACGGCCCAAAGCCTTGGGATCCTGTACCGATCTGGTAGACCCAAGCTCCTGGCTTCTGGCTTCAGATCAGCACAGCTCCAGCCATTGTGGCCACTTGGAGAATGAATCATCGGATGGAAGATCTTCCTCTCTGTCTTTCCGCCTCTTTGTATATCTGACTTTCCAATAAAAATAAATAAATCTTTAAATAAAAAAAAACTGGAAATTACGATCACTCAGAAAAAGGGGGATGTAGTATGTTATTGATAGAGTGTTCTGGAAATGTCAGTTATATACTTCTAGCTTACACTGTTCATCTTCTGCTTGTTCCTTTAAAAAAGTAATTATTTGAAAGGCAAAGTTAAGAAAGGGAGAAATAGATATCTTTCATCTGCCGGTTCACTTCCCAGATGACCACATGGTCAGGGCTGGCCCAGGTCAAAACCAGCAGCCTGGAACTCGGTCAGATTTTCCTACAAGGGTGGCAGAGGCCCAAGCACTCTCAGGTCCATTAGCAGGGAGCTGGATTGGAAGTGGAACAGTTAGGACTTGAACTTGACACCTGTATGGGAGGCTGGCAATGCCAGTGGCAGGACCACTCCTCCTGTCTGCAGTGTCCCTCAGCGGCGGCCAGCAGAGGTTCTGGCTGTCCTTGGTTTCAGCTCCTTTTCCAGGAGCAGGTGCACCTAGGACATGTGAATGATGTGTGTTCTCCCTCAGGTTCTGCCCAGCTGGAGCTTTCTTGGGCTGTGGGGATAATTTCTGGAGTGTTTGTCATCCTTCTGTTCTCTGTCCCTGTCGCAGGAGATAATAGAGCGAACTACGAAGAGGAGGCAGCGGAGAGAATGGGAGGCCCGGAGGTGAGTCTGTCCACCAGGACATGAACTGGTGTCCATATGGGATGCTGGGGCTTGCAGGTGGAAGATTAGGCAATTGAGCCATCTCACCGGCCCCCGAATGCAGCATCTTCCCCAGTGTTTGACTTCCTGGGCTGTTGCCTGCTGCTGAAGACCCTTGCTGTGTGTCATTCCAGGAGAGACATCCTCTTCGACTACGAGCAGTATGAATATCACGGGACATCAGTAAGTACGAGTGGGTATGAGTCACACGCAGTTCTGACTGCAGGGGTCAGTGGCCCAGGGCAGAAGGGAGCATGGGCTTTCAGCGTTTAAATTTCCTTTTTTTTTTTTAAGATTTACTTATTAGAGAGAATGACAAAGAATGGCAAAGAGAGATAGTCCACCTGCTGGTTCACCTTCCCAATGACCGTAACAGCCAGGGACGGGCCAAGCCAGAGCCTAGATCCTGGAAATCCACCCAGGTCTCCCACGCGGGTGCAGGAACCCCAGCACTTGGGCTGCCTTCCTCTGCTTTCCTGAGCGCATTAGCTGGGAGCTGGATTGGAAGTGGAGCATCCTGTATGGGATGCCGATGCTGCAAGCAGTGGCTTAACCTGCCGCCCCCTGGCCCGAGCCCCATGGAGTTGGGAGCACACAAACAGTTGTTTCCAGTCTGGGCTCTCCAGCCTTCTGCACTGTGACCTTTGGGCCTAGGACCTAGACCTGTGAGCCCCGACTTCCCAGTGTCCTTTGACTATGACCTTTGACAGCTCATCCTTCAGTCTTCTCTGCTCAGCCCTGGTGAATGGAACATTCCAGGCAGTGGCTGGGGAGGGTGCTGAGCTGCCGCAGGGATGTTTGTCTCAGGACTGGGCAGGGTGTGCCCCTGGACGTGCTGCTGGGCCTGGACGAGGCTCAGCAGAGATGGCTAAGGGGACCGGTATCATCTTAGCTTTCTGAAGAAAAGTCTTATTTGGCTTGAAGTGTAAACTCTGGTGGTTGAGGGCAGGGGCCCTGATTCAGCTCCTGGGGAGGCCCAAAGTGCAGAAAGTAAGCCTTGGCTGGCGTGCGTGCAGGAAGCAGAGGGAAAGGGAGGGTCTAGGCTCAGTTTACTTTTTCTTTTTTAAGGATTTACTTATTTTTACTTGAAATGCAGATTTATATAGAGGAAGGAACAGAGTCTTCCACCTTTGGCTCACTCCCCCAAAGGCCACACTAGCTGGAGCTGGGCTGGGCTGAAGGCAGGAGTCAGGAGCTCCCTCTGGGTCTCCCACGCGGGTGCAGGGGCCCAGGCACTCGGGTTATCTTCCTCGGCCTCCCACGCCATGAGCAGGGAGCGGGATGGGAAGTAGATCGGGGCCCAGTACAGTGGTGTGTTGGATTAATCTTCCTGCAGCGTCAGCATCCCGTACAGGCGCTGGTTAGAGTCCTGGCCGCCCCACTTCTGCTCCAGCTCCCTGTTTACGGCCTAGAACGGCAGTGGAAGATGGCCCATGTCCTAGAGACCCAGGAAAAGCTCTTGGCTCCTGGCTGCAGATCAGTTTAGCTCCAGCCATGATAGCCATCTGGAGAGAGAGCCAGCAGGTGGAAGATCCGTTCCTCTCTCTTTCCTTCCCTTTATAACTGTCTCCCAAGTAGAAATGGATAAATCTTTAAAAAGTATATCAAGCAGAACAGCCAAGACTGGAATGGTCACGCCTATGGGTTGCTGGCACTGAAGGTGGTTGCTTCAGCCAGCACCGGCCTCTAGGCTCACATTTTTAAAGGTTTATCCATGTTTATTTGAAAGGCAGATTTACAGAGAAAAGGAGAGAGAGAGAGAGAGAGAGAGAGATCTTCCATCCACTGGTTCACTCCCCAAGTGGCTACAAAAGCCAGAACTGAACAGGTAGAAAGCCAGGTGGCTCCTCCAGGCTGGCTTTGAACCATCCTCTGCGCCCTTCTTAGACCACAGACAGGGATCTGGGTTGTAAGTGGAGTGGCCAGGATTTGAACTGGCCTCTTTTTTTTTTTTTTTTTTTTTTTTAAGATTTATTCACTTTTAGGGCCCAGCACAGTGGCGCAAGTGGTTAAGGTCCTCGCCTTGCAAGCCCGGGATCCCATATGGGCGCCGGTTCTATCCCGGCAACCCCGCTTCCCTTCCAACTCCCTGCCTGTGGCCTGGGAAAGCAGTCGAGGACGGCCCAAAGCTTTGGGACCCTGCACCCGTGTGGGAGACCCGGAAGAGGCTCCTGGCTTCAGATCGGCATAGTATCGGCCGTTGCGCTCACTTAGGGAGTGAGTCATTGGACAGAAGATCTTCCTCTCTGCCTCTCCTCTCTGTATATCCGTCTTTCCAATTTAAAAAAAAAGGATTTATTCACTTTTAAATTGGAAAGTCAGATTTTACAGAGAGGAGGAGAAACAGAGAGGAAGATATTTCATCTGATGATTCACTGCCCAAATGGCTCCAGCAATGGCTGGAGCTGAGCTGATCTGAAGCCAGGAGCCAGTAGCTTCTTCTGGGTCTCCAACGCGGGTGCAGGGTCCCAAGGCTTTGGGCCATCCTCGACTGTTTTCCCAGGCCACAAGCAGGGAGCTGGATGGGAAATGGGGCTGGTGGGATTAGAACTGGCACTCATATGGGATTCCGGTATGTGCAAGGTGAGGACTTTAGCCACTAGGCTACTGCATCAGGCTCTAGGCTCTTTTTTTTTTAAACTGGTGAAACACATTGTTTTTTGTTTGTTTGTTTTTTAATTAATTTTATTGCATCATGTGATACAATGTTAAAGGCACTGGGAGTATTTACCAAGCATAAAGTCCAGCGTCTTATTATCCCAGTGGGTTCAACAATTTCTTGGTGAGACCATCTCTGGTCTGAAGGTAAAGCTGGCAAAGTCTCATCCCAACCAATTAGAAGCTCCGACATAACATCAACAACCATTTACAACCTTATGGCATTAACTGACATGGTATTGATTAACAGTATGTTAATAGGAAAATGCGGGTTCTTACTTAACTACATCCTGTGACTTCTTCATAGACATTTCAATTTTTAGTCTGTATTCTAGGCTCACTCTTTATAGAACTTTTTTTTTTAATTGGAAAGTCAGATATACAGAGAGGAGGAGAGGCAGAGAGGAAGATCTGCTGTCCAATGACTCCCCAAGTGACTGCACTGGCTGGAGCTGAGCCAATCCGAAGCCAGGAGCCAGGAGCTTCTTCCAGGACTCCCATACGGGTACAGAGTTCCAAGGTTTTTGGCCATCCTTGACTGCTTTCCTAGGCCACTAGCAGGGAGCTGGATGGAAAGTGGGACCGTCAAGACACAAACTAGGAACCCACATGGGATCCTGGTACGTACAAAGGCGAGGAATTCAGCCACTAGGCTACCCCGCCGGGCCCTATAGAACAATTTTTTAAGGAGATCAGCCATCATTCATTGCAAGAACCCCAGATGACCTGAGGATCTCCCCACCCCCACACTGGGCTCCACCTCCGATTACCTACAGAAATCAGCCATGTGGCACAGCATGTTAGCTACCACCTGTGATGCCAGCATCTTGTACTGGAGTACCAGTTGGAGTCCCAGCTGAAATGTTCCCTATCCAGCTCCCTGTTTATATTCCTGGGAAGGCTGAACAGGATGAGCGAAGTGCTGGGGGACCACGACCAGATGGAGGTCCTGGCTCCTGGCTTCAGCTTGGCCCAGCCCAGCCATTGTAGCCATTTGGGAAATGAACCATTGGGTGGAAGCGATAAGTCTCTTATTTGTAACCCTGCTTTCCAAGTTAATAAATAAATCTTTAAAAAAGGGAAAAAAAAAAAAACAAATTTCCTTACATCTCCCAGCTGTGTCCCCTGGGAACCTGGACTGGAACTGGCCACCCACACTATAGCAAGGTTACAGATACTAAGCCCCCTCACAGAACCTTCTCCCACCAAACCCAGACCCTCTACTCACCTGGGAGAGTCCTCTCCGAAAAATTGTCCTCACAGAGGGTCTTGGGTCCCCCTCCCTCCTTGGACCAGGGCCCAGACTTCCCAGGAACATCTTTGAGGCTACCAGCCAGGCAGGAGAAGTGCAGCTAGGCCCAGGGGCTGACCGGGTCTGCTGGCCTTCAGGCATCAGGCATCGGTGCCTGCCTGGGGTGCAAGTCCCTGCCCAGTGCTGGCCGGAGCTGCCTCCCTCCACACCACAGGTAGCAGTGACTTCTGCCAGCCGAGAAATGCGTGGTGGTCAGCTGAGCTGCTCCCAGCCCTTCTTCCCTGCAGTCTGGTATACACCTGTTCCCCGTGCCTGGCGGGAACCCGCTTAGGTGCCTCAGCTGGGAAGAGCCCCATCCCTGCAGTGGCTTTGCTAGGGCAGCCCCCTGTCCACTGGCATCCAGCCCCGCCCCGCAGGGGCTCCACCCGGGAAGCTCCGCCCACTGGCATCCAGCCCCGCCCCTCAGAGGTTCCACCCAAGGAAGCTCCGCCCACTGCCATCCAGCCCCATGCTTGCTGTTGACGCTGCTTCCTTTCTCAGGCTTCTCTGCTTCCTTGCAGTCGGCCATGGTGATGTTCGACCTGGCATGGACAATGTCCAAGGACCTGAACGACATGTTATGGTACGTAGTCCGGGGAGGCCTGTGTGGGGAATCAGTGCCTATGGCGAGAGCTCCTGACCTCATCCGCATCAGGGAGTATTTGGGGTTACGCATTCACTGGGAACTTGTGCACTCCCAGGCCTTCTTCCCATCTGGGAGACCCTAAGGATTTCATCCAAAATCAGAACAGAGGGCCTGAGGGTGCAGCTGGGGAGCAACCCTCATGCAGAAGGAGCTTGAGTTTTGGAGGCAGTCTCTTCTCCGAGTCTGCGGTGCAGGCTGCGGGCAGGGCTTAGGAGAGACAGAATCTGGCCTGGTTGCACTGCCTCGCCTTCTGCTGGGGTCCCAGATCTTCGAGTTTGCTGCCTGCCACGTGCCCTCTGCTGCTGATGGCCGTAACAGAGGCTTAGCGTGATCTGCATTCGAGTGCCTGGGCCTGGTGCAGAGCCACACAGGCCCAGGGACACACTCGTCACCCTGCTGTCAGAAGTCAGCCCTCTGTTTGTCCACCTTAAGGTGGGAGGCCCCCTGTCAGAAAGCAGGCCGGGGTCTCACCGTGTTGGTAGGATGCTCTTGGAGAATGGAGCCTGGGCCCGTGGGTGCTGATACTTCTCCCCTTACCATAGTGCCTGTGGGCTAGGGCCAGACTCCACTGCCTTCTCTCCTTCCAGGTGGGCCATCGTGGGACTAACAGACCAGTGGGTGCAAGACAAGATCACACAGTAAGGATACGCTGCCTCACTTCCTATGACCGGCTCCATGCTGTGGCCATGTGCAGGGTTCCCAAGCTTACAGTACAGAGATGGGCAGCTTCTCAACGGGGGTCCCAGAGAGAAGGAGTTAGGGAGCTGTCACACAGGAAAGGCTTAGCATTAGATGGAGCCCTGGAAGAGTGTGGCCTGGGCTGGCCTCGGCCTCTACTCTGACGTGCCCTCCAGGTGGCACCAGCGAGCAAAGGACGGTGCTCCTCCGTTCTCTGCCGGAGTAAGGCTGGCTCAGGCAGGCACTGAGATGTGGCCCAGGCAAGGTGCAGGACCTGGGGGAGAACAAGAGGAGGTGTCCAACCAAGCAAAGGCCCTGGCTGCTCTGCCAGGGAGTGGGAGTGGGAGTGGGTCTCAGAAACAAGGGAAGGCCCGCTTGGATGGGGTAGGAGCTGGTCTGAGGTGTAGTGACCTTTGGCTCCTGCAGTGGGGGGTTCCCCACCTGTTAGTCTCTGAACCCTGCTAATGGATGGTCCTGCTCCATCCCCTCTGGCATGAGATGGCCCCTCATGTGCACATTACCCCCGCATCCTGCCTTTTCCCACCCCAGCCCCATCTGGGCCCTGCTGCTGCCTCTGAGGGCAGGAAGGGCCGGGGCCCACCTGGGCCTAAGCAAGGTGTTCTCGAGGGTAGCATTGGGTATGTGCAAAGGGTCTAAAAGCGGCAGCCCTGGTGGGGGACGGGCAGGGAGGCTTGGCTGCCAGGCTCCTGTTTGCTCTGATTTCTTGTCACTGCTGACCTCATGAGCTGAAGAGGCTGGCTCTACAGGAGGCAGACGGGGACACAGCCTGCCCCCTGGCTGCCCTGGTGAGGGCCGGAGGCCGGCAACCCAGACCTATGGTGCCTTCTTCCCAGGATGAAGTACGTGACCGACGTTGGCATCCTACAGCGTCACGTGTCCCGGCACAACCACCGCAACGAGGATGAGGAGAATACCTTATCCGTGGACTGTACACGCATCTCCTTCGAGTATGAGTATCCTCGCCCTGGGGGCCTGACGGGGCCTCTGCAGGAGGCACCAGCCCCCATCTTCAGGGTGCTTTGCCGTCTGAGGGTGCCCCGGCTTTGTCATCCCTCAGGGAGTGTGGCCTGTATTGCGCTGGGCATTGTCCTCTGGATGGTTACAGGGCTGTGCGTCTGGGCCCTGGGGAAGCCACTGAGAGTCAAGGCGGGGGCCAGCCCAGAGGCCCGTGAGTCAAGAGAAAGTGGTGGCAGTGAGGGTAGCCAGACGAGGTATCCAGAGGACCCACACAACAGTGGGGAATACACAGGGCTGGTCTGAGTTGGGGGGTACCTTTACTCACACACACAGAGTGCTGTGCACAGTGCAGTGTGAGAAGGGGGCCACTGGGGACAGCCCATGGCAGTAGGGATGGGTGACAAGGGAAGGCTGGGCCGAGCAGAGCAGGAAGTGCAGGGAGGACAGGGGACCGGCCACCACTGGTGACCACAGGACACGGCTCTGCAGAATCTTGGTCAGCGTCCAGTACTTCACTGGCCTCCTGCAGCAAGTCAGGTGGAACTTAGAAGAGCTCTGAGCCCTGCTTGTCCAGACAGGCCCCCTACAGGCAGGTCCCAGCAAGGAGGAAGGGTTCCACAGGTACTGTTGGACACTGCCAAAGTCATGGGTCACCACGCAGCATGGCGTGGGCATCAGGCTCCATGTGTGCTCCTTGACCTCGGCCCAGCCTCCGCCTAGCCCTCTATCAGCACTGGTCCCTGCACGACAGCCTGTGTAACACGAGCTACACTGCGGCCAGGTTCAAGCTCTGGTCGGTGCACGGGCAGAAGAAGCTCCAGGAGTTCCTGGCAGACATGGGGTGAGTGCCAGCCGCCATCAGCAGTTCCCCATCCCCCAGCCTGGGCCGTCCCTGGCACAGGTGTGTCTGCTCCCCTGCATGGCGTCTACATGCATGCATGGATTGTGTTGCCTGGCCCAGGGCGCCCCTCGCCCCAGCTTTTTCCCCTCCCTGCTGGCAGTGCCACTGCATCTCACCCAGGCACGTGGGCCTGCTTTCTCCAGACTTCCTCTGAAACAAGTGAAGCAGAAGTTTCACTCCATGGACATGGCCTTGAAGGAGAATTTACGAGAAATGATCGAAGAGTCTGCAAATAAATTTGGGTAAACACTTTTTTTTTCCCCCCTTTCTGGATTAACCTTGAAGACGAGGCTACTGCTTTAGTTTCATTCCTAAAATAAAACAAAGCAAAACAAAACTCACACGCCAAAGATGTACAAATGAGCATGACCTGAGTCTACACATTCCTAAAGTTCTGCATTCTTGAGTTAAAAATGGGCTTTAGTAAAGGGCCTGTGAACTTAGGATTCCTAAAACCCAAGGCTGATCCAGCCTGTGTTTCATGGGAGACGGGCAAAGGACCACCAGGGTCAGGGTCGGGTCAGGTGACCCTTGCCTCGTCAGGTCCTTGGTCACTTTGAAGGCCCCTGTGTGTCAGGCTGCACCTGCCCCTGCCAGTGGGCCTGACTGGCGTGTAGGGAGGGAGCCTGCACATGCGTGGAGCCCAGTGGAGCCTCTGCAGATAAGGCAGCTACAGGGCTGGCATGTCCTGGTGTTCCAACCTGCCCTGGCTAGGGTCTGTGAGGGGTGGCAGGGCATCTGCTGGCCCGGCCTGGCCTGGCTGTAGGAGCTCTCCCACAACACTAGGGTGACAGCTGTATCTCTTCCCTCCGTGACAGGATGAAGGACATGCGTGTACAGACCTTCAGCATCCACTTTGGGTTCAAACACAAGTTCTTGGCCAGTGACGTGGTCTTTGCCACCATGTCTCTGATGGAGAGCCCCGAGAAGGATGGCTCGGGGACGGATCACTTCATCCAGGCCCTGGACAGTCTCTCCAGGTAGTGTGTTATGACCGTGGGTGGCTGCCCATTTCAGAGGCTGCCTCCAGTCCTCAGCCTCACCCTGCCAGTGGTGGGGACCCCAGAGTGTGAGAGTGACAGTTACATGGACACTAAAACATGACACTGCCTGGTGTCAGTGTTCTGGTGGCATAGTACATAAAATCACTACCTACGACGCTGGCACTCCCTACGGATGCTAGTTCAGGTCCTGGATGCTCCACTTCCAATCCAGCTTCCTGCTAATGTGCCTGGGAAAGCAGGGGGAGATAATGATTGAAGTACTTGGGCCCCTGACTCCTGGCCTGGCCCAGCCCCGGCCAGGGTGAGAATCAGCAGGCGGAAGATTCTCTCTGTAACTCTGCCTTTCAAATAAATCTTTTTTTAAAAAAGTAAAACAACAAAAACCCACACAGAAAGCTTCTGGACACAACACACACACATGACACTGCCATTCCTCGGGGTCTGTCACCTCCTGAGTCCTGTCATCTCTCTTTTCTTAGATTTGAGAGACCAAGATCTCCCATCTTCTGACTCACGCCCTAATGGGCCAAATGCTAGAGCCAACCCGTGTCTCCTAGGCACCCAGGTACTTGAACCGTCGCCTGCTGCAAACCTGGAACCACATAAGCAGGATGCTGGAACTGGGGCCAGACCTTGAACCCAGCCTCTGCAATGCAGGCCTGCCAAGCAGCGGCCTAACCTCCTGGCCAGACGCTCCCTCCTTGTTTTCAACTTCAGTATCTCCTAAGGCATTATTTATTGTTTATATTTTCATTCCTATAGTTCTAATCTGGTGTTCATTTCTTAATTATTTTCCTTTTAGAGCTGATTTTTTTTATCTCACTTCCTGAGATACCTAAGGGTTTTTTTTTTTTTTTTAATTTTTCTGTGTCTTTTAGTTTGTTTTAAAATAGAACCGTTTTGATCTTTTCTTGGCACATCTTTGCAGTGCCTTTCATTGTTGAGAGGGGGTTGTTCTTACTCTTTCGTCTGAAGGTCATGGAGGGGATTTGACCTTGGTGTTTGAATATGGATTCTCTTTTTAGGAAGAGGCACGAGAAGGCTTCTCCAACTCCACAGAGTTGCCACTTGTATTGCTTTTGTACAGTGGTTCACAAAACAAAAGCAAGAAAAAAGAGGGAGAGAAACCTACTTTCTGGACTTGGCTGTTCCGTGCCCAAGCACATTTGAAAAAGCTTGCATGGTATCGGCATTGCAGCAGCATAGCCAGTTCAACCTGCTGTGGGTGCTGGTTTGAGTCGCAGCTGCTCCACTCACTTCTCATCCAGCTCCCTGCGATGCGCCTGGGTAAAGCAGTGGAGGATCGCTCAAGTGCTTGCACCCCCCGCATGGGAGAGCTGGAGGAAGCTCCTGACGCCTGGCTTTGGCCTGGCCCAGCCCCATCCTGTACAGCCATTTGTACAGTGAACCAGCAGGTGAAAAACCTCTCTCTCTGACTTTCAAATAAATACATTTTATTTATTTATTTTTTTAAGATTTATCTATTTTTATTACAAAGTCAGATATACAGAGAGGAGGAGAGACAGAGAGGAAGATCTTCCATCCGATGATTCACTCCCTAAGTGAGCGCAACGGCCGGTGCTGTGCCGATCTGGAGCCAGGAACTTCCTCTAGGTCTCCCACACAGGTGCAGGATCCCAAGGCTTTGGGCTGTCCTCGACTGCTTTCCCAGGCCACAAGCAGGGAGCTGGATGGGAAGTGGAGCTGTCGGGATTAGAACTGGCTTCCATATGGGATCCTGGCGCATTCAAGGAGAGGACTTTAGCCACTAGGCCACCGCGCCGGGCTCAAATAAATATATTAAAAAACAAAAGATTTGAAAGGCAGACGGACAGGGAGAGAGATCTCCTAAATGCTGGTTCACTCCCCAAACCTCTGCAACAGCCAGGGCTGCGTGCCAGGCTTGGCCAGAAGCCTAGAACTCATTCTGGGTCTTTCACATGGGTGCCAGGAAGCCAGGTACTGACCCATCACTGGCTGCTTCCCAGGAGACCTCAGCAGGAACCTGGGTCAGAAGTCGTGGAGCTGGGGCTCCAACTAGCGCTTCAATATGGGATGTAGGCCTCCTACGTGGTGGCTTAACCTGCTCATAGACTTTATATTTCTTTAATTACATTTATTTCTAAGTATTTTGGAAAGGCAGAGTTACAGAGAGAGGATAGGCCGGGTTTTTTTTTTTTTTTTAAGATTTATTTATTTATTGGAAAGTCAGATACACAGAGAGGAGGAGAGACAGAGAGGAAGATCTTCTGTCCGATGATTCACTCCCAAGTGACCGCAACGGCCGGTACTGCACCGATCCGAAGCCAGGAGCCAGAAACCTCTTCCAGATCTCCCACACAGGTACAGGGTCCCAAAGCTTTGGGCCGTCCTCGACTGCCCTCCCAGGCCACAAGCAGGGAGCTGGATGGGAAGTGGAGTTGTCGGGATTAGAACCGGCGCCCATATGGGATCCTGGTGCGTTCAAGGTGAGGACTTTAGCCGCTAGGCCATGCCGCCGGGCCCGGATAGGCTGATACTTCCATCTATTAATTCATTCCACAAATGACTACAACAGCCAAAGCTGGGCTGATCCGAAGCCAGGAGCCAGGAGCTTCTTCCAGGTCTCCCACATGGGTGCAGGCTTATCCTCCACTGCTTTCTCAGGCCATAAGCAGGGAGCTGGAGCGGAAGTGGAGCAGCTGTGACGTGAACTGGTGCCTCTGTGGGATGCCTACACTACAGGTGAAGGATCAGTGAATGTACCAGTCTCTTGGCTTCCTCCTACCCTCCCTCCCTTCCTTTTTTAAACATTTATTTATTTTGAAAGTGCAAAAATGAGAAGGAGAAAAGAGATCTTCCATCTGTTGGTTCACTCCCCAAATGGCTGCAACTCCAGCACCGGACCAGGCCCAAGTCAGAAGGCCAGAGCTCCATCCGTGTCTCCCACAGGGGAGTTGGTAAGAGAGCTGGCCTGCAGACAGAGCAGCTGGGACTTGCCATCTCTCTCGTGTGGGATACAGAAGTCTCAGCTGGTGACTTAATCTTCCATGCCAGCACTTCACACCCAGCGCTGCAAACTGAGTTTTGTTTATTGGTTTGTATCCTGCAGCCTTGTTAACCGCGTTTATTAGTTCCTGCCTTTTATTTCTTGGTTTATAGCCCTCATTCTTGTTAACCCTGTGTCTTGGTTCTGATAGTCCTCCTCGTGGATTCCTTTCTGTGTACAGTGTCATGTCGCCTGCCAGGAGAGACGTCGTCTTTTCCTTATCCGCTCCTTTCTAGCTGCCCTGCCCTGGCTGTAGCCTGCGACAGGATCCCATTTTTGTTCTGTACCACTGTCTGATATCCTGGAGGTTTTCATTGTCCTTAGATTCCCCTGCTCCCTCTCCACTTTGTCCTACACTGATCACATTACACCAAGCTCGTGGCTGCCTGGTGGTCTGCTCCCACCTGCTCGTGTCTTAGCATTTGGTGGTGTTACCTTGTTTTCTTGCAAAAGCGGGTCCTGGGTTTTTGGTTTTTCATTCCACTTGCCCTGTCTTTCATCTAGCATTTCGGAGGAGAGCAAAAGCCACTGTCCCTGTCGTTCCATCATCCACCAGTCAGTTTTTAAGACATTATGTAGTGACTTCCTGCTATGACAAAGAATGTTTATCCACTTCCTGTCCTCCGTCTCTGTTGTTGGTACAGTCTCGTCACTGTTTTTAGTAACATCTACATCTCCCTTCAGCAATTCGTTGCCATCCTTCTTGTAGGGAAAGAAAAAGGCAGGGTGGGTGTTTGGCTTAGGGGTTGACACCGGGTAGGATGGCCACACCCACGTCAGCGTGCCTGGCCATAATTCCCGGCTGCTGTTCCCGATTGCCGTTTCCTGCTGATACGGAGGCAGCAGTGATGGTTCAAGGGCTCGGGTTCCTGCCACCCGTGTGGGAGACGTGCCCTGAGGTCCCAGCTTCACACTGCCAGCCCCTGACGTGGAAGCTAGACCAGTAGATAAGAAGCCTCTCTCCGTCTGTCTCTCTGTTGCTAGTGTGTGTGTTTTCTCTCTCTCACACCCACACTTTCTCTCTCAATTTAGACAAAACAAAAGGAAAAGATGCTAAATCACTACTGTGCTCCTCGGGTCTCCTAGTCTTTAAAATGTGTGCTTTTAAGTTTTCAAGATTGAGAAGGCTTAATCTTTGGGTAGACAGCAGGATAGGTGACGTTTCCTCTTTCGTTGTAGGTTAGATTTTTTTTTTTAATTGTTAGAGAGATAGGATTCCCTTTTGCTTGTTCACTCCCCAAGTGCTCGGCCAGCATCTCGCACATGGGTCGCAAGGACCCAAATGTGTGAGCTGTTAATCTGTTGCCTTGCAGGGCATGTATCAGTAAGAAGTGGAACCTGCAGACAGAGACAGGAGTCAAACGCATGCATCCCAATACGGAATATGGTGTCTTCATTGGCATTTTTAAGGAAGGTTTTTTTTTTTTTACTTATTTTTATTTAAAAGGCAGATTTATGGAGAGGAGAGACAAAGATCTTCTATCTACTGGTTCACTCCCAGTCGGCCGCAATGGTCTGAGCTGAGCCAATCTGAAGCCAACAGCCAGGAGCTTCTTTGGGTTTTCCATGCAGGCACAGGGTTCCAAGGCTTTGGGCTGTCTTTTACTGCTTTCCCAGGGCACAAGCAGGGTGCTGGATGGGAAGTGGAGCAGCCGGGATTAGAACCGGCATCCATTTGGATGTCAGTGGTTACAAGGTGGAGGATCAGCCAATTGAGCCATTGCATCAGCCCCTTTAACTGCCATCTGTAAGCACTAGACTAAATGCTTTTCTTTTCCTTTATATAAGATAATAAGCTATTCCAGAGATAATATATATATATAAACTTACATGTAATATATACACATATAATCTTATATATCATAATATAACATATATAATCTTATTAGTGCTTGGCTCTTTTTCCTGAGCTTTTTTTTTTTTTAAGTTTTTTTTTTTTTTTTTTTTTAAAGGCAGAGTTACAGAGAGAGGGGAGAACCAGTGCGTGAGAGACCTTCCGTCTGCTGGCTTATTCTCTAAATGGCTGCAATGGCCAGAGCTGAGCCTGTCTGAAGCCAGGAGCCAAGAGCTTCATCTGCGTCTCCTCCCACATGTGTGCAGGGTCCCAAGCACTTGGGCAGTCTTCCCCTGCTTTCCCAGGCACAGTAGCAGGTAGACAGATTGGAAATGGAGCATCCAGGACTCAAACTAGTGCCCATTGGGACGCTGGCACCGCAGGCAACAGCCTAGCCTACTGTGCCGTAGTACCCATCCCTTTCATGGAGTTTTTTTTTTAGAGATTTATTTTTATTTTCATTACAAAGTCAGATATACAGAGAGGAAGAGAGACAGAGAGGAAGATCTTCCATCTGGTGATTCACTCCCCAAATGAGCACAACGGCCCATGCTATGCCGATCCAAAGCCAGGAGCCAGGAACCTCTTCCAGATCTCCCACACGGGTACAGGGTCCCAAAGCTTTGGGCCGTCCTCGACTGCTTTCCCGGGCCACAGGCAGGGAGCTGGAAGGGAAGTGGAGCTGTTGGGATTAGAACCGGCGTCCATATGGGATCCCGGCGCGTTCAAGGTGAGGACTTTAGCCACTAGGCCATGGCGCCGGGCCTCATGGAGTTTTTAATGACTTCCTTCACCACTTCCTTTCCTCCCCACCCCAGTTCTCCGAACCCCCTTTTCCCTAGAGAGCTTGAAACTGCAGCTGTCCGGGCCTGCAGCCTTCTGCCATCACAGATGTCCTGTGGCCGTGCCTCTTTTAAGATGCAGTGTTGCTTGGCATCGATGTCTTCATTCAGCTTGCTTCTTTGCTTTCCCCGAACATAGTTCTCAACCTTCAAACAAAGAGTGCGCAAGAGACAAACCTCCCGAGTTCTCGCCCGTCCTGCCTTACTTGATTGCTAACACAGATCAAGTAGACTTGAGGTCCGAAGGCAAATGCCCACCGACTGGATCCCACTGGACCCCATCTCCCAGCAGCCATTGCTGCTAAGCAGAAGTCTGGCCCAGGCCGATTCTTGTTCCTCTGAAAGCGTCCTAGCCTGAGCCCAGCCCAAGAAGCCATCAGGATTCTTTGATTCTCGGTGTTGTAGGCTTCCTGGTGTGGACCTGGCATCTTGCATTCTGCCGGGTTTCTCCCATGAGCCCCTCAGGCCGAGGGTTTCTGTCTTGCCTCCATGAGGTTGCTTTGGTCCGGAAATGATACTGTCTTATGTTTTTTGCTTTAATGTTCCATGTCTGGTTATTTGGAAGCTTTTGTTTTTTGTTTCTAAGTGCAGAGCTACAGAGAAAGAGAGAGGCCATTGTGCCACTTAGAGAGCAGACTAGCTCATGGAAGATCTCTCTGTGTCTCGCCTTAGTCTCTGTAACTCTCTCAGATAAATGTTAGGGCCTGGCACAGTAGCCTAGTGGCTAAAGTCCTCACCTTGCATATGCCAGCATCCCATGTGGACACCGCTTCGTATCCCAGCCGCTCTACTTCCCTTCCAGCTCCCTGCTTGTTGCCTGGGAAAGTAGTGAAGGATGAACCAAAGCCTTGGGACTCTGTGCCCACATGGGAGACCCGAAGAAGCTCTGGCTCTGGCTTTGGCTCAGCTCTGGCTGATGTAGCCGTTGCGGCCACTTGAGGAGTAAGCGAGCAGACAGATCTTTCTGTCTCTCATTCAGTCTGTTAATCTGCCTTTCCAATAAAAAAATAAGTGGATTCTTTGATTCTCCCAAGACCTGTTTCCCCAAAAGATACTGACAACCGGGTGTCTGCCCTGTTATAGGAGTAACCTGGACAAGCTGTACTACGGCCTGGAACTCGCCAAGAAGCAGCTGCGTGCCACCCAGCAGACCATCGCCAGCTGCCTCTGCACCAACCTCGTCATCTCCCAGGGCCCCTTCCTCTACTGCTCCCTCATGGAGGTCAGACTTCTCACAAGGCAGGGGCACCGGCTACACCGCGCTGGCGGCTAGCCTCTGACTCGACCTCTGTCCCCCCCTTCCCAGGGCACCCCAGACGCCGTACTCTTCTCAAAGCCTGCGTCCCTGAGCCTGCTCAGCAGACACCTGCTCAAATCCTTTGTGTGTTCGGTAAGGAGCTGGGTAGGCAGGTGTTGGGAGGGCACCATCCCGGGTGCTGAGATGCTGGCCTGGCAGTGTCTGTCACTATTCACCAGCTGCAAGATCTGGGCAGATCCCTTAGATTTTCTAAGTCAGATTTCCTTCGGCCGATCCCTAGGAACCTTGTGATTCCCACCAGCTCTGATCTTACCACTCACTGCCCAGACCACACAGACTCCCCCAGTTGGAGCCGAGCTCGCCTTCCACTGCCAGGCTGTGACATGCACCTCCCGCATCTCAGAACTTGGTCTAACTCCGTGGCCTCTTCTTCTTGGCCATGGCCGGAAGCACACACCCTAACTTAGCCAGCCTGCGGGCAGGACTTGACCTGGCTGAGGATGGGATGTGACTATGGGCAGGACGGTCCCACACCTTTAATAAAGTCCTGCTCAGACTCCAGCTGAGGGTTTATGCCGAGGGCCACGGTAAACAGAATGTGTCACGTCACGTGACATCGCCATCTTCCCGCGCACACGTGCTCTATGAAGGTGGTCAAGCCTGGAGATCTGACTTTATTGATGTTGACTTTGTTGCACTTCAGATTTTTCTTTTCCTGCTATGAATTTTTTTTTATAGATTGAGGGGTTTTGTCCACCCTGCATTGAATTGAGCAAATCTATTATGCCACTTTTTGAGAGCTCAGATAGATGGATGATTACTTTGTTTTTAGCAGTGAAGCTTTTTTTTTTTTTTTCAGTTTAATTGTATATACGTGATTTGGTTGGCCATGATGCCATGGTACACTTTGTTTTAGGCCACAAGGTCAGATAAATAGCTTTCCCCTGGGCTGGGACACCAGAACATACAATGTGACTTAAGGCCTTATATGTTATATAGGAGATAGTTCCCCTATAGCTGTCTCTGAGATACGCCCTTGATGCCGGAAGGTGTGAGCTTGAGGGTCCTCTGAGCTGGATTCAGATCTCAGGCGTTTCATTGATCAGGGCAGGGTTCTCTGAGGTTCTCTGGCCTTGGAGCCTCAGTTGTGTCATCTGTAAAATGGACAGGCACATACCCACTTTCCAGGATCCACTCACCAGTCCCATATCTGTTGGGTGACTCCCACCTGTCAGCTCCTGTGACTGGCCATCCCTAAGTCATAGGTAGATGGGGATGGCTGGTCACCATGGTCGTAGTGTGGGTGCTGTGAGGCAAAGCAGTGAAAGAAGCACTCCGCCTCCACCCTGTGGGAACTCACATGTCAGGTGTGGCTTCAGATGGGGTCACATGCCACAGAGGGTGGAACAGGACTGGTGGAAAAGGCTGGGACCCCCAGGTGCAGGTAACAATTGTGGCTACACTTGGAGGAAGCAGGGTGGTTGACCCACAGGAGCACGTGTAGGTGTGTGGGACTCAAGTCCATCTCCCGTGACAAAGTCCCCGGGCACTTCTTGGTGTTCCTGGTCTTTGTGGTGCCATGACTGGTCTGAGGGTGTCCCTCTGTCCCTGCAGACAAAGAACCGGCGCTGTAAGCTGCTGCCCCTGGTGATGGCCGCCCCCTTGAGTGTGGAGCATGGCACAGTGACCATGGTGGGCATCCCCCCAGAAACGGACAGCTCGGACAGGAAGAAGTGAGTGGCATCGCCTCGTGTTGGAAGGTGCCCTGGGCTGGGGGATGGGCATCAGGCCTGCCCAGTAGAGTGGCATGTGCCACTCCGCGTCTGTCACAGAGGCTGGGGGAGGGATAGGGCCCCTTGCACCATGCCTGTCCTCTGTCCGCAGCTTCTTTGGGCGAGCGTTTGAGAAGGCTGCGGAAAGCACCAGCTCCCGGACACTGCACAACCATTTTGACCTCTCAGGTGAGAGACCCTGGCCCTTGGCCGTAGTTCTCCTTGCCTGAGCCTTTATGGTCGGCGCTGACCCCAGAACTGGGCAAGCTGGAAGTGCCAGAGGTACTTGACCGGCAGCTCTCTTGTCCTCCAACAACCAACCCTAGATGCTCGGGTGGCTCAGGGAGTCCTGCAAAACCCGAGACCCTCCGCCTTTTCCTGCACCCCCCCCCCAGCCTAGCCCAGCATCTTTGGTCTGGGGGGCCCTGGGAAGAGGCAAAGGTATTTTGTGAAGGAGACTAACTTTCCCACCAGTCCTGGAGGACTAGCTGGCACTGTTTTATAGGCACTAGCCTTGCCCATTAGGGTCACCCATGGTGTGGGCAGGGGGATAGCAGGGCCTTGTGGCCACCCGAGAACATTGCCATCCCCCGCTCTAGAGGCCTGTACTGTCATAAAGGGTCCTGCCTGAGGCCACTGCTTGGCCACCTGACACAGGCCCTGCTTCCATGTCAGATAAACCCAGAGTGCAGGGTTCCACCTGGTGTTCCCCCTTCCCCAACGCTGGCAACAGCAGCATGGAATACAGTTCCATGTTTAGCCGTCTTTGCATAAGGTAAGGGATTCTTGGTACCACTCCACTCCCACCAGTTGCTGACACTGCGTTACAGCAATGCCACAGGATGGGGACCAAAGCCAAAGTCGCCTGCTTTGATCTCGGGCCCAGCGTGGGGCAGGGCGGGTGTGCTCTGAAGCCTCTCTTTGGTGTTCCTCCCACGGGCATTGTGCCTCTGTGTATTTCTGCATCTTGGTCCATTCTGAGGGGGACACCAGTCTCGTCGGAGGGATGCAGATGTACCTGAGGTCCTTATTCTACCTTCCTCACCTCTCTGAGGGCTGTGTCTCTGAATCTACCTGCACTCTGGAGGGTCCCAAGGGTCAAGACTCCAAAGCAGGAGCTGGCAGGAACACTGTTGAGTACTACCCCCCAAAACCCCTCATCTCGGAAAGGGCCTGTTCTAAACTTTCCCTACACCCTCACGGTGACCAGCCCGTGATGACCCTTGGGCAGGCCTCGGCTGTCTCAGAGCCAGCCTCCAGCAGCAGGAAGCCCAGCTGTGGCCCTGGGCAGTGTTCTTTCACCCTGTTTCTGGGGTTCATGCCTGTGGGAGGGGGTTCACAGGGATGATTCGGGGATGGAGAGACGGAGGGGGAATGGCAGGGGTGGGGCAGTGGGAGCTCTAGGTGGGCCTGGGACTCTCGGAGTCGGGGCAAGGTAATGAGGACCAGGCCTGGTTTTGCTGTCTGATGCAAGACCATGTGCTTCCCTGGGCCTCTAGTGGCGCTGCAGGAACAAAGACAATCTGCCTTATGTTCCCCTTCCCTGCCCCGACCACCTCATAGAAGATGACGTTGGAAATTGAAGCCCTGCCCACCACGGGGCCTCCCACAGGCCGTTGGAGGGCAGGTGTCTGTGTTGGGCAAGCTCACCATCCAGGTGTGTCACTCGTAGCTGTCACATCCCCTGGGTCTCCTCCAATTGCCCCCAGTCCCTCCCTGTAGGCCACAGCTCTGGCCTTCGTGGCCAGCAAAGAATCCGGGGTGGTAGATAACTGAGACAAAACAGCAGAAACCCCCCCACCCCCAGGCTGCTGCAGCTCCGGCAGCTCCAGCCTGCATGTGGGGAGGGCCACTGTGCGCTCGGCCTTGTTTTCATTCCCTCCTCCATCTCTCCCGGTGTTTTTCTTTCATTACCTCAGTAATTGAACTCAAAGCTGAAGACCGGAACAAGTTCTTGGACGCCCTCGTCTCCCTCCTGTCCTGAGGTGAGCTGGGGTAGGAGCCCTCAGGGAGCCCCATCATATGACCCTTCTCATAGCCCCACTCTGACTCCCTGCCTGGCGCCGGGGTCCCCGAGTGTGTCCCACCATGGGGTATTTTTGAGGAGGCCAATTCAATGAAGTCCTTGTGATTCCTTCAGAAAGACACAGTCATTTGCCCTCTGCTGACCACGCCACGGGTTGGGCACTTTCAAGTGGCACTCTGACTGCCCGCTGCTGCCCTCAGGAGGCGCCCCGCAGCCTTCAGGGTCTCCAGCACACAGACTGGAGCCTTGGTGTGACAGACCCTGGCGAAAGCAGAGCTATGTCCCAAGGCACTGTTGGGCCACGAATGCCCAGGATGCTGCCCCATGGCCTCCTACCCTCATTACAGGACCACCTCATCCCAGGGTGCCCCACTGTGGGCGCCACCCTGTCCTGCCTCGGAGCCCAGGCTGGAAGCATGGCTGGCCAAGGCTTCCTTGTGCCAGGGCTGTGGGGGCCTCTGTTCCTCCTGGCGCTCTGGGGGACAGGTACTACTACAGCTTCAGGGAGAAGGCCCCCAAAGATAGGACCTGGGGGTGGGTCTGTCACGTTCACTGCTCTGGGCACTCATTAGCCACGCCTTCGTTAGGTTGGGCTTTCTGTCTCATTTGGAAATGGGGCTAAACTTCCTCAACTAACAGGGGTGGAGCCTCAAGAACAGGGAGCCTGGGCTGGGACTCCTCTTTCAACCACCTGATCCGTTCCTACAGCCTGCTCAATGCATGTTTATCTGAAACGCAGAGCCAGGAGGCCGGAACTCTCTCCGGGTCTCCTGTGTGGGTGCAGCACTGGTATTTGTGGCCTCTCAGGATATGCTACGTGGCAGTTTGGACCAGAAGCAGAGGAGCCAGGACTGGAACCAGCAAAAACCACTGGATGTGGTTTTCCCAACAATGCTTTAACCCACTGTGCCATAGTACCTACCCTGGGGCAGTCTGCTCTTCCATGGACACCCATGCCTCAGCCCACATTGAAGCAACTCAGAAACTGTAGTCCCCCGTGTCAGAGGGAAGCCCTGAACAGTTTGAACTGGGGTGTTGGGATTGTTGTGAAACTTACTTCTCTTTTTGTTTTTTCCTTTTCCAGAAATTGGTGTCTTCAGATCCGACCTCTTCCTCCTTATTTATATGAATTGACTTTCTTTAGAGGGTTTTATGGGTGGAGTTTGAGTAGGGACAGGGATGTGTTTTTTAATGGGAATAAAATGCTTATTTTTAGGTTCTTTTATTTCGATGCTGGTCTTGGGGCCAGTGCTCGGGGGCTGTCCTGTGCCTTCTGTGGAACTGGGGCTTTGTCCTGGACCTTGAGGGCCCTCAAGGTCAGCCCCTAGGACTGCGCATGCTCCCCACAGCACCTGTGTTGACCACGACCAGCCCCTGCCTCTGTCCGCCCTCTTCCTGACACTTGATAGGCCCCCAAAATGTTGCCAGTCCATATTCTTGGCCATCCTTGCCTCATACTCTGCACCATCCAAGCACCTGCCCACCCCACCCCCATAGGCAGAAGAGTGGGCAGCCTGCACTGCAGAGACCAGTGAGAGGAAGACTGTAGGTTGCCAAGGCCCAGCTGGCTGGCAGAGGGTACCCCAAGGTCCACTAGCACCACCACATCCTGATTACAGATCCAGGCTGACTGGGATCTCCGGCCAGCAGAGCCAGGAGCCCTGCCCCGCTGGGAGTCAGGAGTCAGCTCTCCCACCCTTCCCAGGGTCCCCTGCACACCATGAATGTTGGGTTAGAAGGGAGAGCTGGTTCTCTGGCACCCCTCCTGGTGGAGAGAATTCATCCTAGGAGACCGCCTAGGGACTCAGGTGCTGGAGGGAGTTGGTAGGGTCTGGAAAGGGTGGCCAGCAAGGGGGTTGGGACTGGGTGTATGTGAGCCCGTGGGAAAGGGCGTCATCCCAGTGGGGTCAGAGCTGGACTGGAGGCTGGCTCCTGTCCCCTGACCTCTGGCTAGTCACAGCACTAGCAGTAAGTTACAGCTTGCCTTTAATTCTCTTGGCATGGGCCAGCTGCGTGGCCAGCTGGCTCCCGAGGGCCGATGGGCTGCCCACCCACCTGGAAAAGATCAGAGACTGGGCAGCTTCGGTGTGAGACTGGCACCATCCAGCCCTCAAGAGTGGGCCAGTAGGTGCGGTAGTATCAGATCTCTGCTGGGAGACCCGCCCAGGGTTATGTGCTCAGAGACCTGCTGCATAGACCTGCTGAAGACCCTGGGGCCACGGGGCCCCACCTTGCGGCCCACTGTTGGGAGCTCAGATTTTGAGAAGGCATAATCTGGAATTCACACTTGCTGGCTCCACCGTGAGCCCCGGGAATCTGCAACAGCGGGCACAGCGGCCAGCCTGAGCCCCCCTCAACACCCACATGCCTGGGCTGCTCCCTCCTGCCCACAGTGGGGAGCCCAGCTAGGCCTGAGAGTCTTCTAGCGGCCAGGTACACCCCAGACATTTCAGGCCAAACTTGAGAGCAGATGTCAAGTCTTCCTGTTGGCTGGACTCGCAGCCGCTGCCCGCTCTTCCACTGCTCTTTTCTGCTCCTTACCTTCTGGCAAAAAGCAGCCAGGCTTTCATTCACAGTGCCTGGAACAGGACTGGAAACAATGAACTCTCAGCAGTGATGACATAGCCCTAGGCTTTCCTGTTCTCCCAGCACCCCTGCACTCCACCTCACCCTCCACCCTCTGCCCAGTACCCAGCAGGGGCCAGCTTTCACCCCTAGACAACAGGGTGTTCCCAGCAAAGGCTGACAGGGGTGCTGATGGCTGGCACCAGTCTGGCTGGCTGCCCAGGCCAGCACAGTGGGAACAGGCCCCCACGCAGGGTTGTGCTGGATCTGGCAGAAGGGAGCCAGTACAAGGGTCTGGAGTTTAGCCCAGGACTCTTGGGACAGCCGTACTGCAGTGCCTCTTCCCCATGACAACACTGTGGTGGGCCTGCAACAGGCCCTGCTGGAACTGGGCACACATCCTGCTTTGACCCCTGTTCCCGCCCCACCTTTGCAGAGGTCCTGACTGGTCACTGTGCAGATGTCTATGGCCACTTGAGAGGCCCCGGAGCTGGGCCAGTCCCAAGAGGGAGGGTGAAAAACAGCTTGTGGTGCATGGGTACTGGGCCTTTTTCTGGGAGAGGCCAGGGGCACAGCTGCCCACCTTGGTACATTTTCCTTCCTCACTCCCCCTAGTGGGGTTCCAGCCTGCATCTTCTGTAGGGCCCCACCCCAACAACCACCCCACCACCCCCGACCCCCCCGTAGCTGTGCTGACTGGCGAGAGGATGGAAGATGGGGTGGGAGAGCACGGTGTCCATGAGTGGACGAACCGGGAGGAGGCAGGACAGAAAACGGCACACAGGTGGGAGAATGTTCAAACCATTTACTAAGCAAATTCTTAACCTCCCCACTCCCACCCCACAAGCTGTGGAGGCAGGCAGGGCCGCCTCCCCTCCCAACCACCACCACCCTTCGCAAGCCCTGCCTGGGTTACTGCTGGGTGGGACAACAGAAGTCCAAGGCACATCCGTGGGGTCCTTGTGCTCCAGTCCCGGTTGGGGTGAAAGCCAGCAGTCCTGGCTGGGACCCTGGGCTCCCCGCCTGCCCTTAGAAAGCAGCCTTACTTCGGAAGATGGGAGGAGGAATTGGCGTCTGTAGGGTGGTGCCCACTGGGCTGAGTCCCACCCAGGTTGTGGCCACCTCTGCTCACAGAAAAGGAAAGCCGATTAAGTCCTCGAAAGAGCCCTTCATCTGTTCAGAGCAGGGGCTGGATGGTCACCGGTCGAGAGAGGACTGCAGGATACAGCGCGATCAGGGGCTGGTCCCAGGGTGGTATTTGCGCGCAAAGCCTGGCGTTCCGCGGGGCTTGTGCGCCGCGCAACCCATTCAAGACCACCTTCCACATGGGCTCCCCACACCGGTCCTTAGGCTCTCCGGCCTGGCTGCCTGCCCAGAGGGGTCCGCCCACCCTCAAACGTAGTTCTTCTTGTCGTAGTCGCCGCTGGTCGCTGCCGGCCGACGCGGGGCCGAGTACTTCACCGGGAAGCTGAGGTTGGGGCGGCCAGCGAAAACCCAGGCGCCGCAGCACACGAGACCACCGCCGCACATGAGCAGCGCCGAGGCCGCCCAGCCGATGTAGAGCGCGGCGCCCAGCTCGTACTTCTGCGACACGGGCACCGCAGGGTCGTAGAACTCGCGCACCACGATGTTGGCGAACCAGCAAAGCGGAATGAGCGCCAGCAGCCCGCAGAGAGCGTAGAGCGCGCCCCCGGTGAGGGCTACACGCGCCTTGCCTGGGCCGGGGGCCACGCAGGTGGTGCACTGGGCGCCCGCCAGGGTCACGAAGAGCGCGACGAGCGCCAGGAGCACAGCGCCCACGGTGAGCGCTCGCGCCGCCTGTACCTCTGCGCTCAGCGCCAGCACCGACTCATACACCTTGCACTGCATGTGGCCCGTGCTCTGCACCACGCACGACATCCACAACCCCTTCCAGGTGGTCTGCGCTGTCACGATATTGTGGTCCAGAAAGGCAGTCACCTGCCACATGGGCAGCCCGCACGCCAAAATCAGGCCAACCCAGCCCACCAGGCACAGCACCAGGCCCAGGATTTCCAGCGCTGCCGACCCCATGACTGCAGGTGAAGTGCTTGCCCGACGTCCACGGGGCCTTGGGGTAAGCGTGGCGTTGCCTTGGTGGTGCGGCTTAGAGCCCTACGCTGGGTCCTGATGCCTTTTCGCCGGCGCGCGCCCACCTCTCCGTCCAGGTGCCCTGCCGGTGTGCAGTACAATCTCGCGTCTGCTGGTCTTCTTTGGGGGGGCTCTGTATTTGAAACCTCGGAAGGCGGATTCCTTTCGCGACCCGGCGCAGCCCCTCTGACGCGAGCAGCCAATCCTGGCGCGAGCCGTTGACCCGTAGCTAACCATAGCCCCCACCCCTCACCCCTGCCGCTGGAGTTAGGGAAACGAACGGGCTCCGAGCACCTAGAGAGCGCGGGACCGCTTTCTCGCCCGGCCTGGGACTTGAGACTTCCACCCGGCGGCGGCTGCTGGAGTCGCTGTCCAGAGCGCTCTGAGCTGGCCTGGAGTGTGCCGCCTCCCGCAGCATCCCTGTCGCTCCCCTTACAAACTGCACAGCAGTCTCTCCTTCCACCCAACCACCCACCACCACCCTATTCACCCCAAGACCTCAACCCAGCCTGATGATCCCTTCGAGCCCGTCAGCTCTTTTTCGACCAAGGTCCGTGGGAGACACGCCCCATCACTACTACCACCACCACCAGGGTGTATGAGGTGTGCATGGCGGAGTCTTTGCAACCTCATTTCTCCCCCGGTTCAGCCAAGCCCCTTCTTGGGCACATTCTCACCCAGCAGTACCGCTGTGGGCGCTGTATGTCCCCCACTAGTGGAGAGCATTGATTGGCCTGTGCCTGAAAGTGGGGCCCTCTCAGGATCCCCAAGTCTCATCTAAGGTCGTGCCCAGGACCACAACACCCCTACACGATTCATAGTCTGCATGAAGCTGAAGGCTCTGACAGGAAGCTAGGGACTGGAGAGGGGGCTTTCCAGACCCCCTCAACCTTTCCACTGATGCTACACAGCCCCCACCACCCCTGGAAGTCCCCACTCAGACTGTGCTGCCCCTGCAGTGACTGTGGTCTTCTTGCTGGCCCTTGGACAGGAGCGCGCCCCTGCCACCCCAGCCCCCCAGCTCCGGAAGCCAACTTGGAGTTTCCTGGCCCCTGGGAGGAAGCGCCCCCATCCTCGCTAGAGGAGGGAGGTGCTGGATTTCCTGGCATTCTTTTTCACAATGGCCCAGCCATTTGTTGAAAAGTCGACTGGGGTGGACACTGCAGGGGCCCCCTGAGGCTCAGGTGGGGGCACCAGGTCCGCACCCCATGGGGGCACCAGCCTCTTTCTGGCAGTCCCCTCCCTGCTCCCTACTGGTCCCTTTGTTTCCAGCAAAGCCTGGATTCCGGGCCCTGGATGCAGCTCGGTTCCCCCATCCACCCCCAACTCCTGCCCCACCACACTCCCTGCTCCTGGTGGCCTTGTGATTCTGCTAGAGGCTGCTTCGCAATGCTGGAGCTGTGTTAAGTCTCTCTCCCGGGCCAGTTCTTGCATCCTCCTGGGATAGACCCATGTCTGCTCATTGAGGACTCTGACCCACCTTGCCTGCTCAGTGTGG